TTTACTTTTCCCCCATTTGAGGTCAGTCTTCTAGTGTTTCCTCAGTATTTCACCTCTGTCTTCCATCATGATGATCTATTTTTGTTTTGGTTAATTGCTCACCCACCCACCCATTAATTATAAGCCCCTTGAGTGACCAGATCAGGGATTGCCACAATGCCCAGCATAGGATTTTGCTTATTAAGTGTGTATAGCTATGAGAAAGAAAACAATGAAATTGGCCTAAAAAGAGGTTTAAGTACCTTCATTGCTCTCCTTAAATCATTGTTCCACAGCTGAGAAAGCACAGCCCTATGGTTACCTTTTAGTGGCGTGCCATGTGTATATTTGGGCAGTAGTGTAAATCATATGTGAATAGTAATGATGAAAAAGTCAGGATGGAGGGAAAGGAAATTAGGAGGGAGATGAAGTGATGAGCTAGAGGAGGACTAAGGTGATAGATTGACTGCAGTGGGCTGAGCAGTCCATATGAAGACTGTAAGACTAGGAGCCAGATCCTCAGGTATGTTTCCCCATCTCTTCCAATTCCTGAGAAGAACATTTGGAGTCCAACCCTGGGTGAAAACATGGTCAGTTCATAGAATATTTTGATTTAACCTGACCAAAGCCTGATCTTGGAACTATGGGAGGGCCTAGAAATCCCCTTTATCACCCCTGGCCCAATGCACTGTGATTCCAAATGACTACAAGATGACATTACTAAAAGACTAAATGAATAAATGCCAAAATGAATCCACCCTCACCTGTCAGTGTTTATAGCCTTGCCAAAGTAGGCTAGTGTAGTATGCGCAAGCTGCTTGGTGTGATGCACAGCTGGGCTAGCCAGACTCCTAGCAGAGTTGCAAGCTTTAGATATCAAAGGTCACTGGTGCCTGCCAGCTTTCTGTTAAACCAGCAAAGTCTAGGTGAAGCTGGATTGGTGGCTGGTCCCTGTAAGAAACACTGCATCATAAAATGAGCAAAGTTGTTTAGGTGCAAGTGGAAATCACTTAGTGTCCATGGGCTCTGACATGTTCAGTGATTAAAAACAAATTGTTGGCAGAGTGCTTTAAGTTCTGTACACTGAGCTATACCCCCAGAGACCAAGTTCTGAGGCTGGCCTCAAGCTTATACAGTCCACACTGTACCTGGCTTTAAGTTCCTATTAAAAATGAGAAGGATGAAATGTGCCATAAATAATAAGAAATCCTTGACCAGGTGATTTATAGAAGATTGGATGAGAATATATTGTATGCTGCAAGGGTCTCTATTTGAGGCTGTGAATTGTTGGCATTACTGGTCCTGGTCCCCTTATCTTACCTAACAATTTATGGGTTCCATTTTAGGGTCCCATCCTGATGGAGCTGCAGACTTACCGTTATCATGGACACAGTATGAGTGACCCTGGAGTCAGGTATAGTCATGGGAGATCTGGGTGTGGTTTTCAAAGAGGATGGGCTTGGATTAGTGCTGCTCACATGAAATTACTTTTGTTGATATCAAGTAGTTATTTGAGTCTTAGTCTGAAAGCTGTACTACTAATAAATTGGTTCCAATATAGAAAGCATTCAGAAAGTCCCTGGATGTTAGCAAGAGCAGTAATTTTTTTTTTAAAGCATATAACTAAATTGTAGAGGGAAATTGTTAGATAAAACAGGTATGATGGGAGAGTAATGTATTTGGAGGCATTTAGCTTATGTAGGCATTATCCCAAATTCACTCATGGCATACTGTACCTGAAGAGAACCAGGATTTGGAAATATTCTGGCTGGGAGGGAGGTGTTCAATAGGTTGAAATATCAAAAGAGCTAGGTTACATTAGGAAGGTGTGAGTTTTCCTTTTTCACTTATATCTCATATAATTCTGCAGTCACAGACTCAACACAATTAAAAGTCAATTTAGTCAAAGTCTATTGTACAAATTAAGTGTGAAAATATACTTTGATTTGTTTTTTTTTTTTTTAAGGTAGAACACTTCCTTTTAGTGTTATTTCAGATATATACAAGAATCAGAAAACCTGGTGTCTTTTAAGTAATTGCTGGCCATGCTTTGTTTGCGGTTCTAAGGGAGAAAGGCAAAGTGATTGGCATTGATACCCCAACCCATGTAAAATATAATAGCCTGTTTAGAGCAGAAAAAGCCATCAGGGAAAAAGTTACAACAGGAGACTGCTACTAACCTTTCTATCACCAGAGGGCATAAGTGTCCAACCAACAGCACCACCTCCATATGCTGGGAGGCTCCCAACCCCCGCAGTTGATAGTTGGGATCCTGAGACAGGATCTCAAATATTAACATGCCCTGTATTTGAGGCAGGAGGGCAGCGAATTCACCATGCTTTAAATTTCAAAACAGTGAAGCAGCTAAAAGAGGCTGTAACAACCTATGGTCCTCAAGCACCCTTCACTGTAAGCTTGGTCGAATCCATTAACAACTTGAACATGACACCAGTAGATTGGGCTAATATGTGTAAAGCTGTGCTAAATTGAGGACAATACCTGTTATGGAAGGTTGCCAATGAGGAATTTTGCAAGGAGATGGCTAGGCGAAATGCAGCAGCTGGTTATCCTCAGAGAAATCTAGATATGTTGTTAGGAAAGGGACCTTATGAGGATCAGCAGCAACAAATTGCATATGATCCTGGCGTATACGCACAAATTGCTGCAGAGGTGGTTAGGGCATGGAAGACTTTACAAGGACATGGAGGGTTTACAAGGTCAATTATCTAAGGTAATACAAGGAGCTAATGAACCTTATGCTGAATTTGTAGATAGGCTTATTCAAACAGCTACCAGAGTTTTTGGGAATACAGAACAAGCAATGCCATTAATAAAACAACTGGCTTATGACCAAGCAAATCGTTGGTGCAGAGAAATCATTAGACCATGCAAACATGAAGATTTAACCACATATATTAAATTATGTAGAGACATTAATGAACAAGAGCAGGTCGTGGCAGCTGCAGTAAAACAGGCTTTAGATGCCAGAGACATTAATGACAAGGGCAAATTGTGGCAGCTGCAGTAAAACAGGCTTTAGATGCCAGGCCAAGAACATGCTACAATTGCCCCATAGGAGGAGGGTTTAACAAAACTAGGTATCAAAGGAGTAGAATACCGGGTATTTGCCCACGATGCCGTAGAGGGAGACATTGGGCTAATGAATGCCGCAATCTGGCTGGGCACAATTCAGGAGCCATTTGTCAAAAGAAACTAACTTTATTTTTAGAACCACACACGCCAAACAAAACAGCTCCTCAGGAAAAACCCTCAGAGCCCAACTGCCACCACCGGCTTCCCACAAGCCTCTCAACCTCCCCCACTCCTCCTGCTTTTGAGGCCGATTGGCTGGGTTGTGTGGGCGGAGCCAAAAAGTCCCCCAATGAGCAGCTCCGTGGTCTGAAAGGGCAGGGAAACAGCCCAATGAGCATCACCGCAGAGGAGCCAATCAGCTAGAAGTTGCTGGGGCCGCTGTGAGCCCATCATCAGCTGGCAGTCTGAAAGTTTGCTGGGGCCCCTTCGGCTGTGGCTCTCAACATCTCCCCCTCTCTGTTTAAACCCAACCCATGTAAAATATAATAGCCTAAAGGAGTGGGACAGGTGACACTTCTTTTGTACTCTTTTAGATCAAAGAAGCAAACCAGAACTTGGCCCCCATTGTGAGAATGCCAGAGAAGCCCTATGAGTTTCAGCATACTGTTTTGCTATAGAAGATAGAAGCAGCTCTTACAGGCTGCTTTCTTGTGTTTTGGAAGTATAACTCTGCTCTTCTCACAGTAACATTAGTGTTGATGTGTCCCTTCCTCTCAGGAATGTACTCAGACTTCACCTAGCTATCTGCCCCACTGGAACTGTTCTTACACCTATCACTGTGTTTCTTTCCTCATACAGTTACCGCACACGAGAAGAAATTCAGGAAGTAAGAAGTAAGAGTGACCCTATAATGCTTCTTAAGGATAGAATGGTGAACAGCAATCTTGCCAGTGTTGAAGAATTAAAGGTACATTCACTCTTAGTGGTTTAAGTCTGGCTTTAAAGGTGGCTCTCTTTCCTCCCTCCCACAAAAAGTTGCCACCTCTGGGTAACCACAGAGTCTTGATTTGTTCAAGCCTGGGAAAATGATATGACAGGGAATAATTCTGAAATCTCATAGGGCTGTTCTTTATTAAGATTAGGTGGGGTGGGCAGCGAACTAAGTAGTGAAAGTATGATTATCACAGATCATATTGGCAAAAAGCCTTTTTTTGCACTTTCCCCCGTAGCACAGTTTGTACAGTCCCTGGATTGTTATCTTCCTGTGGAGATAAACAGGTGCTACCCAAGCTGCTGTTAATTTAAAAATTTCTTGCACTGTAATCCAATGTTTAGGAAATTGATGTTGAAGTAAGGAAAGAAATTGAGGACGCTGCCCAGTTTGCCACAGCTGATCCTGAGCCACCTTTGGAGGAACTAGGCTACCACATCTACAGCAGCGATCCACCCTTTGAAGTGCGTGGTGCCAACCAGTGGATCAAGTTTAAGTCAGTCAGTTAATGGGAGACGTGTGTAATGATGGGCTATTTGTCAGCAACTATAAGGAACAGCGTTGTCAACTTTAATAAATAGCATGTAAATTAAATTGAAGGGAGAGTAAGTGCATGCAGTTTTGTATATTATTGTGTTAGAAGATGTTGAGTGCTTGAGTGTTTTGTGATTATTATATTATTGTATTACCTATTTCAGATCTACAAGTCTAATAGAGTTTAACCTTCTCCCAAATAGTTGTTTGTCTGGTCACTAGAAGGAAGAACACTTCCTTGTGTACCTGTTCCAACCCTGCCACCTGTTTTGGCTATGCCCTGAGAAGACGCAATTCTGGCATTGCACAGCTAAAGCCATCATTTCTTCATATTTTTTTTATTATTATAACCAGGCAACAGGTGAAAGGCCAAACAACTAGTTTTCTCCATTTACACATCAGTGGTTACAGTCCTATCACATTTAGGTTCTATACTAGTTAATAATGCTTACCCTACAACACCTGTCTCATTTTAAACTACCATTGTATTTAAAATAACAGAATGCTGAGTCTCTTTTTCTGAGATTCTCCTAATACTCTAGGATATCAAAACTAAAGCTCACTATTCACATTACATACAGTTCTATATAATCTTTAAAACATTCATAAATAATAGGTTTTTAAAAATGACACAAAAAAATGACAAACTTCAGATTCTTGAATTAATTGAACACATCTTTTTCTTGTGTAAACTGAGCAGAATTTGTGCATACATGTACAGAAGAAGCTTTAACCACAAGCAGGAGGATATGTGCTCACTGTGTCCTCCTGGCTTAGCTGAGTGTGATTAAGCCTAGTCCTCTGTCACTGAGGACTCCTGAGCCTGCCTTCTGTACTGGGAGACTGCGTGCCACAGACGACAGAGGACACCACCACTGTGGAACAAAGGAGTTACCATAAGAAAGGCAAAGTTCCAACTGACAACCCCAAAACTAATCTAAGATTGGCCACCTACTCTTACAAATGCAGTCCCATTTTAATTTAGATAATGAACAAAACCAAAAATATGTTCTCTTCCTGTGTGAATATAATCCTTGAGTGCCAGCAGTGCTAGGACATGGTATTAGAAGAGTGCACAGGAGCGCTGATGGATTGGTGTAGAGGTGGCTATTTTAAATGACATGGGAACAAGACCACGGGAGGGGTTGGGTCTAGTGCACTGGTACCTCATGCCCAGCCCAAACCTGCCAAGATTTTGGAGGGAGAAGAGGTAGTATGTTTTCAAAGACACTGGAAAGGGAATGAATTTCAAAGAGGGGAAGTTACCAGCACTATTGCCTACTTTAATATATTTACCCAGAAAAGGTTCTAATAAGCCGTTTTGAAGCTCTTACCGTAGTCTAAGGCATCGTAAGTCTTCCTTAGTGATATCGTTAAGAATATCAGAAAGTGTATAATTTTCTTCAACAATCTGAAACAAAGATCAAATACATAAGAAATAAGCAGCTTTTAAGAATATCATAGGAATAGTTTTTGGTTATAAATTTACCTTTTCAATTGTATTTGCATCTGTTCCTTGCAGTTGTAGCCAGTCTATAAGCTCTTTATCTGTTCCCTGCCTAGGAGGGGGTGCTAGGTTCTTTGTCATACCTGTAACAATTAGAAATTTGTTTCATTGTATATTAATTGTAACCATAAAACTCTTAAAAAGTAACTATCCATAATATAAAATGTGGTATGAAAAGATGTATTAAACCTGTGTCATTGATCTGCTCTAATATGTTTTATACAATTCCTAGTTCTTAAACTGACTTTCCAGAGAGAACTACCCTTACCTCAGCACCTTAAGTTTGTAATCCGATGTTGTCTTACTTTAAATGTTTAAAAAATGACCTTTCTTCAGGTGCACAGCCCTAACTACACTGAAAATCAGGTGAAATAGGTAGATTTTTACATTACATCGGCGCTTATGTAGTCCATACCCCAAGAGGTAGCTATAGCCCACAAAAGGAGAAAGTCAGATATACTGACATATAATTTGGACAGTAAACCACCCTTTTTAGATTTACTTTTGACAAACTCGGTCATGTAACTACTACCACAATTGAGATACAGATATTTCCATTACTCCACAAAGTTCTCATGTGTTCTCGCATAATCCGTCCCCTCTCCTATCCATTCTGATTTGTTTTTTGCCCCTGAAGCTCTTGTCTTTTCCAGAGAACTGTGTGAATGGAATCGGTTCTTTCACTTACCATACTGCAAGTATCAGTAGTTCCCTTTTTATTATTGAACAGTATTCCAGAATCTACTAGAGTCCTGGTTTAATAGAAGGTAATCTCAAATTTTTTTCAAGGCTGGCTAAAATATTAGGCAGGTTTTTTGGGGGGCGGGGGGAGTGGGTAATCAGGGATTGAACTCAGGGATACTCGGCCACTAAGCCACATCCCCAGTCCTATTTTGTATATTTAGAGACAGAGTCTCACTGAATTGAGTTGCTGAGGCTGGTTTGAACTCGTGATCCTCTTGTCTTAGCCTCCTGAGCCTCTGGGATTACAGGCGTTCGCCACCGTGCCCAGCTCAGCAGATTTTTAGTTTGTCTTTCTGACACACCTTAGTTAGAGTTACATGAACAATGACTCACCATTATAATTGAATTGTAATTGAAGGTGATATAATTCTTGAGTTTTCTGTTCTAGCGTTTGCCGTAGAAGATTCTGGTACTCTCTCTCTTTTTGGACTAGGTGTTCCAAGAGTCTGGTTTAAAAAAAAAGCATCATTAGCTCAGTACTATCCAATTCAACTCAAACATTTGTTTAACATTAAGAGATTGTTGGGATTATGCCTTTAAATTTTTTTTTTTTTTCAGTCAGCTCAGGGGGAAGCAGATTTGTTTCTTCAGAGTTCTGTTAACCAGGTTTCAGCTTATGCAGGGGAACCTACCTTTTCTCATTTAACAACAAAGACCAGCACTTGGAACGTGGGTACATTTTATATTATTGAAACCCTAGCCACCAAGGTATTTTGGAAGAAGATCCCAGAGATTCCCTCGCCCCTCCCACCATGCAATAATACAGTGAGTAGCCAGTCATCTATGAAGTTGCTAGCCCTTGATCTTGGACTTCAGCCTCCAGAACTGGGAGAAGTAAATTTGTTGTTTGTAAACCACCAGTTGATGGTATTTTGTAATAGCAGCCTGAACCAGACTTAAACAGTTTTGTCTCAAAGTATATCATGAACTAGAAGTTAATCTGATGTCGATCAGTACAACTAAGCCAGAAGGATTACTTGATTCCTTAAGCTTGTCTCCCTAAGATACAGTAGCTGAAAATAGGTTACCCTCCTTCTTTGGAGGGAGCTGAAGCAAGGGGACAGCTGCTGGTTGAGGAGAGCCAGAGTTCCACAGGGCAGAACTACTAACACTGAATATCTATGCAGAATCCAGGATTGCACAACACTTAGTGGATTAGGTCATTTAGGCCTTAATACCACTCAGAGCTGAAGTATTGAGGCACTGAGTCACTAAACAATTCACCCAGAGTCACAGAAACTGGGCTTTCCCCATCAGGACGGTCTCCCTGGGACAAGACGGTCTCCCTGGGACAAGAAAGAGTTTGGCACATCTGAGCCTCCAACTTCTGGGTCCTTTCCATGCCAGCTTGGATAATATGCCTGGGAGAAGGGAAGCAGGACTGGTAGACTGGAGCCATGTTTACCTTCTTTTGTTTGCTTATGTACCTAAAACACGAGATTAGTTTTGTTTTAACTGCATGTTCTTTATGTATATTACTCATGCTGGTGAACTAGGGATATAGAACTAAGCTTTATTTGGATTAGTAAAAGTTAATCATTGATGTTTAACTCTGAGAAGTCAGTGCAACAATGTGTAAACAGATGAGAACACAGGTACCTCTGGATGATTCAGTGACAGAATGGTATGGGGAGAGGCAAACACTCCTGCCCCAGCAAGGAGTAAATTTTTCTAGTGAGGAATTCCAACCCCCTACCCCTGGCCTTGCCTATATCTTTGTCAAGCAGTCTTCTTCCTACCAAAGTGAAGGAGACAATTTTAGCCCGTGCTTGGTCCCCTTCAGTGCAAAGCGTTTTCAGGCCTGTCATTGGGACAGACTAGTTATCTCCAGTCACATCACAGACCATCCTGCTACAGCTCTGCCCAACTGCTGCATGGTCAAGGCATTTGCCACAGGATGGGCAGGCTGCCCAAGAGCCGCTTTGTTAGTTAGCCATTCACATTAATGTGCTGAATGCTGTTTAACCAATTCCTGAGTCTACTAAGAATAGAAAATAATGGCATGACTGAACAGTGGAGAGGAATGACCTTTGATCCCACATATAACTGAATTGGGAAAAAAAGTTTTGAAGAACACTAAGTTTTACTACCAATTTCATGTTTGTCATCTTCTTAAAATTTTGCCACCACTACTATTTACTTAAGATTTCAGGTCTGTTAAAGAAATGTCTAGAAATTAAACCTGAAATATCCTGGGGGTTTGCACAATTTTTCATCCAAAGTATATACATCCAGCACCTTCTCTCCCAATAACAGTTTGCCATAGCTGTAGATTCTAATTGTTTTAAAAGCTCATTGATTTTTGCATTTTGATTTTGATTGATGCTTATGAAACACCTGTTGGATACCAGGAAGTAAACAAAATAGACCTGGGCATTGGGGGAACATTATGATGATGCCAGGGTACCCTGGTTGGGAAGGCAGTTCATTGATACCTGCCTGGGGAACGTGACAAATTACCAGGAAGACATGAGAGGGCAGACTTCCTTGGGATCAGAGTCCATCATCCATAACGAAGTGCAAACACCCCCAAACTCTGCTACTACAGATGTCTACTGAGCATGCCAGGCCATGTGCCATGCCAGGATCCCATCTTGGTAAAGATACAGAAAAGAGTTAAGGTACTGCTGTCTTTAGTATGGTTCCCTGTGGCCTGTGACAAGGCCCTATACTTATTCCTAATATTAAAGGAAGGCATTCTAGTTCCTCAGCTGAAACTGCACATAAAACCTTGCCCAGTTCATTGATGGTAAAGACGTGAGGCTCCAAACAACTCAACTCATTCCAGACTGAGGGCCTGGAAGGTCATCACCTGTTGCTCTCCTGCCTGAGCTTGCTCAGCTGGAGGCTCAGGTGCTGCTGGTGGGGCTGGGCCTCCTCGGCAACAGCTGCACTAGGTCTTCTCCCTCCCGATGCCACATGTGCTTCGCTTCCAGGCAGGTCTACTAAGGGATAGTCGTCTTCCACTTCATCTGTGTCCTTATCTACCCCTTCGGTCTCAGACGTAGGCTCAAAGTGAGCTCGGAGCTCTGTGAAATCATAGACCATGGTTATCATGGCATTTAGCCCACGTCCTGTGCCACCAAATGAGGCTACTCAAGGGGAGTGTGCTAGCTTTATAAAAGGAGAGAAGACAATTCTGTTTGGTTCCCTGCACCATAAAAATGATCCCTCCCAGTTTACACAAAGATGTAAGGAGGTTAGTCAAGGAGGCTTTACAAAGATACAACCAGGCGAATACTTGCTTAGAGCAGGAACATGGGGTTCACATGCCCCTCCTGCCAGTTGAGCGTAGGCTACAGAGCATTCAGGAGAGCAGACAGAAGATGAACAGTAAAGTCCCAGAGTAAAGAGAGGAAGAGGCCAGGTCCATAGAACCCTTCTAAAGCCTCCCATTACAGGAAGAAGTATCACAGAAGGGGAAGTGACTTTGCCATGAAGTTGCTCTAACATTTCCAGAAATAAGTCTACAACAGCCCAAAACTGGGCTGGGGGCATAGCTCAATAGCTCAGGTAGAAGGCATGCTTGATAGGAATGGGGCCTTGGGTTTGATCCCCAGCAGGGGGGAAAAACACCCCAAATTCCTATAGCTACTAGAAGATAATTCAGAGAGAGGAAAAAGAAATGGAGCTGTTTTCTTTTCAACTATCTAGCAAGCATTTGTGAGCACACACACTGAAATGGGTACCATAGCACTGGAAGATCCCTGCCTTTTTACATGATGCATTTGTAAGTAGTCACTTTCATTACACTCAGGGGACACATAAGTAAGTACCATATGTTCTTATCATAGACTGTTCAACTTTGATGGGATCTATGACAGCATTCACTTTACTGCAGGATTGTATAAAGCCAACAGGGGAAAAAAATGATTGTTGAATGCAGAGAATAATTCTGGTCTTTGTTAAAGCCTGATGCTGACCTTGACCTCAGAGGGCACTTACCTGGGATAAGAATGGTGATCGCAGCTTGCACTGCTCTGCGGATGATGTTATCCATTGCAAACATCCAGTGGGGCCTAATTAAGTGGTTCCTCAAAATTTTATTTACCTAAAAATCACAAAAATCCAGATTTCTAGTCTGTTGTGCTTTAAGAAAGTCAAGTTCTAATTCTAATTTGCCTTTACTCTGAGATTGAGTATTGGCAATGCTGCCATGGAGCTTTGTCTGACACATTTCTTCTGAACCCAGTCTTCCTCTAGGCTGCCCTAAGTCACGTTGGAGTCTAGAAGATGTGTACAGCAATGGGATTGACATCACAGGACCTCTTCATTGTTTATTCAACATTTATTGAACACCTAGGAAATGACAGATTGCACTGGGGGCTGGGGACACGAAGATGAACCAGATAGTCTCGGGCCTGAAAGAATTCATATCTGTTTGGGCAGACACATAAGCTTAAAGTCTACACCTACTTGCTGCCAGATGCCATATGCTCCTAAATCGTATTATGTTCTCTATGGCCAAAGGCAATCAGCCCACTCACTCAGGTGACATTTCCTATACCTACCTACATCTTCAGTGTTTAGGAGGAGCTGCTAAATTTCAGCATTCAGGTGTAAATAGATGAGAAGAAATGGGGGCTATGGGAGAAGATGGTGATTATCATGTTCTCCAGGGTCAGATGGAACACTTACAGCATCCTGAAATCCAAACAGTACCAGGTGAATCTGATTGATGGATGAGCTGTCAAAATCCAGGTCCACCTTCAGCTTTGATATTGTGGATGCCATCACCCTGTGCTCTGGGGAGCGAATGAAGTCTCTCAAGATCCCGATTATTTGCTTGATATGACCAACTGAGAGATGCAACTCCTCTGAGCTCTGACCACACATACACACAAACATGAATCATTTTCATTGAATGAGTAAGGGAAGGGGGATAGAAAATTCAAAATGTATTGTGGGAAACTAGACTGCCCATTTGCTAACAGAATTGTGGAATCCCTTGGGGAAGAAGGAGCCTTTGTTCTTAGAATTCCCTCTATTTCCTTCCTGGGGGCGGGGGGGGGGGGTGGGTCTTCTGGCAAGCACACATCCTCACCTTTAAGTCCCACTGAATGATTCTACCTCCTGTTTGACCCCTCATCAAAAGGCCTAGTTTACAGTGTGGCAGTGACCTCTTACTAAAAGGACCTTCCCCATCCAAAATAAAGATAGGGGGATCAGTATACTACTGCTGTGTCCTAGTTAAAACTCAAATCTTTTCATCCATAACCATTCTCCATAAAGTGGCTGTTCTCCCAGATTCTGAAGGCAGCTTTAGCATGTCCTACAGCTGGGGCTTAACTCCACCCTAGGCCTCAAAACCAAGATGATAAGAGGCCAGAGGCTGGAAGCCCTTCAGCTTCCTGGTGTTTCTGCTGTCATGTGGCTCTTTCTCCACCAGGTGGTAGCACCACCCCGCAAATGCCTAGAAGCACTGCAGTGATCTGCAAATTCACATTTTAGCGGAGTTTTTTCTTTGTATATTCTTTCGTTTTGTTGGGGAAGGGAAGGATGTTAGGAAATACTTATGGTGCTCACTCTAACTATGTAAATGTTCCAGGCTACAGAGAGGAGTGGTTCCTGTTCAAACCTGTCCTGGGACTTGGACCCAGGTGGGGTGGGATTAGATTAGCAGATGCCATTCCCAGTACCTGGGTCACACACTCCTGCAAGTTAGAAACCACCTGATTCTGCTCTTCCCAAAGGATTTTGTACAAGATGGCACGGCGCTCACTGTCCTTGCGCAGCAGAAAGAGGCCCTGGTCCCTGTCGTCTGGGGACAAAGGTGCGTTCCGGTCTTCTGAGGCTGAGCTCTCGTCTGGAACGCTGCAGACGAAACACATGTGACAATCCTGTGTTTGTCCCAGAACACTATCACCAGGAAGTGTACCACCATATGCTGTGGGGGTGGGGCTAAGAGGAATACACTGCAGTCCCCTGGCTCAAGAAGAGGAAGCTGCAGGGAACAAGGCTGAAGGGGGAGGGAGGCCATGTCCCCCCCTCCCCTTTGCTTCCCCCATAGTAGCCAAGTTTGGGGGAAGAAGGGGGAAAAGAAGTGGGGTTGAGTGGGGGAAAAGCAGAGGAAGGGAGAGGAAAGAGGGGGAGTAGAAGGGAAGGCAAGTTGAGAGAGGGAAGGGGGAGAGAATAAGGGGGTATGTGGGAGGGGGAAACAGGGAAAAATGAGGGGAAGAAGAGACAGGAGAGGGAAGTGCAGAGGAGGAAGGAAATAAGACAGTGGAACAGAGAGGGCAGGAGTAAGCAAAGCGCTCTCCTGGCTTGTCCCCAGACATTCTGCTGCCCTGCAGGAAAGCAAAAGCCCTTCCCAGCCCTCTGGTTATGACCCAGCAAGTATTGCATCACTGAGGAACACCAGCACCCCTCACGGGACCACAACAGGGGGACAAGGGAAACGGGCAGTACCTGAGAAAGTGACTGAGCTGGTGCTTGGGCACCTGTGTCCTCTCAAAGAATGTGTCAGGCTGGGCATCAGAGTCTGGGGAGATGGAGCCATGCTCGCTGCTGCTACTGCCCAGAGGTTCCCCTGGTGATGGCAGGGCCAGGGCACTGGTGACAATGCGGGTTCCTTCTGTGGGGGACAGCCAGACAGGGAATGGAGAGGCTCAGAGAAGGACCAGGTGGAGGTTGAGCTTCTGGCAGCCTCTCAGACCCAGGTGCCCACCTGAGGGCTTGCTAAGCCTGCACAGCTCTGACTTAGGTGGTGTGAACAGTCACCTGAGACCATGGTGAGAAATGTAGGTCTGAGATGGGCCTCATCATAAACAGGTGGTCTAGGGTCACATTCTATGGAGCAAGTTTAGAGTCATTCTGCCATGCCTTCTGATTCCATCCACCCCAGAGGGAAGATGGCAAATCGCTTCCTTTTCACAGGCTGCTCTTTGTCACTGCTAGTTACAGGCTACTATTCTAGAAGGTGTCACTGGGCTTTGGTAGCCTGTGGGAAAGCTACCACAGGCAAGCATCCCTAACACACCCTTTAATCAAGGCCAGGATGGCAGGCCAGGCTCCAAAGATGAAACATCAGGCTCTACACTTAGGGGAGACACAAACCCCAGACAGGTACCTCTCATCTCCCACCTCCACACATTCCCAAAAGAAAGACTTCAAGGAAGTTGGTGGAGTGGACCTCAGAGTCACCCTCCAGGCTCCCTGTTCCTGTCAGGAGATGGAGGGATGTTTGCTAGATGGACTTTGACAACCTTCAAACCTACAGCACCATCCCTGCCACTCTTCACATAAATAGGCACAACATGGAAGCTCAATGCTATGGAGAGCTAGCACTCTTTGTAAGCAGCAGAGAAGCCCCAGGCCCAGGGCATCTCCCCAGCTGTCCAGGTAGGCCTCACCTGAGGGCTTGAAAGCAATTCGGTTCTTCTTGCCCTTGTTCACCTGCCTTAAGAAACCCTCTCTGAGTAGATCAGTGGCAGTGGCCCGTTTTTGAGGGTCAGGCTCAAAACAGAATAAGATGAAGGTTCTGGCTTCAGTTGAAAGAGCTTCTGGAATCTCAGGGTGGATCTTAAACATTCCCACCTGCATTTAGGGGAGAGGTAACCAATGTGTCAGTGAAGCCTCAGGTGATTTAGGGGAATGAATTTTCAACAGAAAGCTCCTACACCTCCATCCTATGAGGGGCTGGGAATGCCCCAAAGATGCTCAGTTCTGTCCATGCCCCTTTGCAATGCTATGTTCCTGCTCCTCCTATCCACAGGTGGTCTCTATTTCCCTATCCCTGGAGTCTCAGCTGGCCTTTTGAAGGCTATGATATGGCTCAGTGGTAGAGTGCTTGCCTAGCATGGGTGAGGCCCTGGATTTGATCCCCAGCACTGAAAAAATAAAAACAAACAAAAATCAGCTGGCCTTTTGTGACTTTGCTTTCACCAAGAGACTGAGGTGAAAGTTCTATGTGAGGGTTTCATAGCTTAGGCCTTAAGATGTCTTGTAGTCCCTGCCCTGGTCCTCTTGGAGCCCTGAGACCACCACACAGGGAAGGAGTCCAGGATGGACAACTGTGTGGACAGAAGGGTCCAACCCTCACTGCCACACCCTCAGTCACATGCAAAAGAACCTCTCAGAGGATCCTGCCCCAGCCAACTGCCACCTGGATACAACCACAGGTGTGAGCCCAGGCAAGGCCTGCAGAAGAGCCAGCCAACAGTCCACTCACAGAACTGTGAGGAATAACAAGTCACATAGTTATTAGTTACATAGCACAAGAGACTTGAGAGGGAACTGGGCCAAAGCCTGGGGCAGGAGAGCCACATTCTGAGATAATTCAAAGGCTTCTGCTATCTGTTCCCAAGAGACACCCCCCACACCTCTCAGTCCCTATGCATCCACAGCCCAGGTCCCCATCCTCCAGCTCTAAGCCTAAGCATACAAAACCTGAGGCTGCTAACCTCACAGACAAGTTGTCTAATCATCCACAGCCAAGCCAGGGCCTCCTCCCTAGGGATACAGCAGTTGAGGGAGGTGAACTGCTCCTTCATTTCATAGTTCTTGCTAGAATGGCTGTTTCAGGGCCCACTTTTGGATAGTCAACTGCTATCCTGCCAAAGGTTCCCTGTTTCTGTGACCCATAGGGAAACCAGAGTCAGTTCTCAGCTGTCACATCTCACTATGACATGGAAATGTTTCCGACAAACCTTGAATAACCTCTTCTTGCATAATTGTTCCCATCAGGAGTGGCTCTCTAGTTTTCTTAGGCATTGTCATCTTAAAGTTTACAGCCTTCCCTGTGTCTTTTCCAAGCCCACTCAATCCAGTGGAGGAAGCTGTTCTGTCTTCCCGATCCAAGCTCATGGCCAGCTCCTCAGCAGCCCTGAGGGCTGGCTTGGCCTCCTTTCCTGCACGGCATGTGGGAGCAAAGACCTGGGTGCTGCAGAGCCTTCTGACTTCACCTCCCAAAGGCCCTTGATGAGGTGGACATGTCCCATTCCCAGGACACTGCTACTCGTGGACAGTACACCCTACCACCTTGCAAATACATCACTTATTAGAGTGCTCTGCTATGACTTAAAAGCTCCCTTAAGGGTCCACCAGGGCTATTGTAACAAAGTATCACAAACTGGGGGGCTTAAACACCAGAAATGTATTGTCTTCTAGTTCTGGAATCTGGGAGGCTGAGACCAAGGTCTCCCCCTGAGGCCAGTCTCTCTCTGAAGATGCATCACCCCAACCCCCTGCTTTCACACAGTCTTCTCTCTGTGCATGTCTGTCTTGGAGTCCAAATATCCATCCCTTTTTAATAAGGACACCTGTCATTGCTGCTTTGGGGTCCACTCTGATACCATTTTAATGTAATTTTTTTCTGTGAAAACCCTACTTCCAAATAAGGTCATGTTCTGAGTTTCTGGGGATAAGGACTTCCATATATCATTTTGGGTGACACAATTAAACCCATAACACTCCCCTTGGGGGAAGAATAATTCCCTTTGTTTCAGACACTGCCCAGAAGTTTTTAAAATTTTTGTTGAAGGATTCTACTATCCAAGAAATGAATAACACAGTGGACATTATTTGCTCAATACTAACTTTTTTGTTGGCAACATAAAGTGACTTCATGTGTGACCCAAACAAATCAACATTTTGCAAAGAATTTGTACAGATAATGAGCTAACCAAAAACAGGCGGCAGGAAGAAGATCCTGGGAGTTGTTCATGCCCTGTGGATGAATTGAGAAAGTCACAGCCTTCGGCTGGGTTTCTGGAGTTTTACAGAAAGTCAACAGATCAGAAAACAGACATGGCTCTCCAGTGGGCACCATGTTTTTCCAAGCACCAGCTGCTATTTATTCTAAGGCCTGTGATGGAAGCTGCAGGTGAGATCTTTAACCTCACTGGGGGCCATGAATGGTCACTGATATGCTCAAGAAGGTTGCTGCTATCTTCTAGTCCTTGTGTTTAGGGTTCTGTTAGCACTGCAGGGACCAGAAAACTTTGGTGGACTTGAGGTGTTGGCCTTGAAGCTACCTGGGCAGCTGATATAATGGAAGGAAGCTCTGAGAATCTTCTGCTGGGGCCCAGTCAAGCTGAGGAGAGTAGCCAAGGTACCCAGAGCACAGAGTGCTCAGAGCCAGTTGAAGGTGCTGTGCTCACCTCAGAGGACATAATCCCACACTCATATTTTTGAGGTCTTTCTGCCCAAGGGGCTGAGCCAGAGGGTCCAGCAATGATGCAGGCCATGACGGAGGTTGCCAAATGTGGCAGAAAAGCTACTAAAAGGCCTCTGGACATGTACTATGAAGCTATGTCAATGTACCTGTAGCTTCATTATCTACAAACAACAGCCATTTAACTTTTTGAGACCCCCACCCTTTTGGGATGAATAAAAATCTTCCATAGGGGCTGGGGCTGTAGCTCAGTGTCAGAGCACTTACCTAGCATATGTGAGGCACTGGGCTTGATCCCTAGCACCACATAAAAATAAACAAACAAAATAAAAACATTCTGTCCACTCACAACTAGAAAAAATTTTTAAAAACTATCTTCCATGGAAGGTCACTGTTGATAAGGGGCTGTTTTCAAAGATACTCAAGAGTCAGAAACTGCAGACCTGACCTTGGGCACACAGGGTTGTCCTGGCATCAGCTTCCTGTGGGGTCATAAGCAAGTATATCCCCTTTCAAGGTCCCACTTGCCCAGCAGTAAAACCACCACCTATATGTTAGCCTCTACACACACAGTGTCCTTCCATTAGCCATAGAAGGTTGTTAGAATGATAAAGGATACATTATCTGTACCTACAGTTCTGCCTCTCCAAAATCCATTCCTTCAAAGACGCATACCCCATCATGGCCTTTGAGCCTTACCCAGAGAAAGGGCAAATGCAAATGAAAAATCAGAGGCTTAATTATCCTCATCCAACATAAAGGAAGAGGGTTCTTCTCTTCTCTTAAAGCATTTACTTTAGGGAACTTAAAAATTTTTGTTCTTTCTCTCGAGATGTTTTTGTTGTTGTTATTGCTATTGTTTCTAGGGATTGAACCCAGGGGCACTTAACCACTGAGCCACATCCCCAGCCCTTTTTAATATCTTATTTAGAGACAGGGTCTCACTGAGTTGCTCAGAGCTTCACTAAGTTGCTGAGGCTGGCTCTGAACTTGTGATCCTCCTGCCTCAGCCTCCCGAGCTGCTGGGACTACAGGCACGTGCCACTGCACCTGGTGCATGTAAATCTTTTTAACAGCTAGATAAGCCTCTTACCAGAAACATCTTTCCCAAGACTTGGGAGCCATTGCTTTGAAATGAAATCATTGAGGAAGACAGTGCCTCTATCTCCCAGTTTCTGTAGGAGGGAAGGGGCCCAACTTTGGTGGTGCCTCACTCCAAAACTACCTCCTGTCTTAAGATAAAACAGGTTTATTTTTTTTTTCTCTGCAAAAAGCCAATTTCCTAACATAAAAGGTCACCTCAATTACCAGGTGACTCTAAGAGGAGCCTTGTGTTGTCAAGTCCTCTCACTTGAGGTCTAGTTATTTATCTTGAGAATGTGGTTATAACGAATTTTATCTACTTAGCAATATAAAGGGGTGATATTTCCTTCAGTCTTTGAAATCTTAGCAGATTATCTGTGATGTGCCTTGCATTCTAGTTTAATACTTATTAAATAATAAAACTGTTTTCCTTCTCTCCTTTGTGTATATAAGTTTTCAAGATTGAGAAGAAATCTTGTTTTAAATTGTTTCCCTAACATCTAAACCACCCAAATGACCAAATGTGTCTTACTTTGAACATTGCTGCCTGTGGTTCACCAAGCTCATGGAATGGAGGCTTGCTGGTGGCCATCTCAATGATGGTGCAGCCCAGAGACCAGATATCAGCTGGGGCACCATACCCACGAGGTCCTTGATCAATAATCTCAGGTGCCATATACTGCAGAGTACCTACATAGAAAATAAATGCAAAGATCAGAGCACTATATTGCTTATAAATGAACTGGACCATTAGTAAAAACAAGTCTGGGGGCTTAATTGTCTCATTAATAGTGGAAGGAGCCTTGTTCCTTGCATAAATAATATGGCTGCATCACTTTTTGACCCGAAACATGCAACATAGCTTCTTTCAATACTAGGCATATTGAGACAGGATTGCCTAGTCCCTCAAAGGATAAAGGGTCCCAATTCAATTAGCATGTTTTAGCACATGCCAAACACAGGGAAACTGGAATGGGAGAAATAGCCTGATCACAAAAAGCTTCCCAGGGGAGGAGACATATATAACGGTGGTGGTAGCAGTGCTGTAACAGAGGTGTACACAGAGGGCTGGAAGAATGTGGATGAAAAAGTGCTTGATTCTGTCTGGTCTGAATCAGGGAAATCTATGACTGTGTCAATTTCTTTCGGTCTCTGAGAGGCAAATGCCAAAATAAGATTAGACATATAAGAGATTTACTGGGGAGAAGGTCTATGAAGGATAAAGGGGAGGGCAGGATTGGCAGGGAGAATGCCATACTACAAAGCAGGCCTGAGCCCTGGGGGAAATGGAGGGAGGAAGAATTAGGTAGAAGAGTCTCAGCACTGAGGGCTTCAGCCAAGTCACCAAGGAGAACTTGGCCATAATTTGCCCATTGGCAGAGTCTCATATTGGTTCTAGAACCTTAACCAGGTTCAGACATTGTCAAGGAGCAGCCTGGGTAAAGTGTCACCTTGCCAAGAATGTGATCCAAAGGGGCATCAGCTGGCACTGCCAATGAAGTAGGTTCCTGCTACTGTGGTTGAAGAGGTGGTCAAAGGGATAGGAGGGTGTTCAGGTATAGGGAAGAACTTGAGCAAGAACATGGGTATAAAGTATAGAGTCCAGGGAACAACAAGTGATATTTCACTGGGGGCAGGGTGTAGAAAGGATTAAGGAGAGCAGCAAGGGCACAGTCTAAATGGCAAGTTGTATGTTCTGAAGACTGGCTTTGGGGGCTGGGGTTGTGGCTCAGAGGTAGAGTGCTCACCTAGCATGCATGAGGTATTGGGTTCGATCCTCAGCACCACATAAAAATAAAATATTGTGTCCACCTATAACTAAAAAATAAATATTAAAAAAAAAGACTGGCTTTGGACTTTCTCCTGTGGTTCATGAGCTACCAGAGGTTACCCCAGGGAAGACACTGATTGGATATGGTAGCAGGAAGACGAAGGGATTACTGAATAGAAAGATGGGGAGTAGGGAGTTCAATCAAGGGCTCTGGGAGTAAAATCTTTGGTTTTCCTTGAAATTAAGCAAGAGGAAAGGGAAAATGTGGCTGGGACATTAGCAGATGTTATAGGCTGGCAAAGAGGTTTAGAAGAAAACATCAAATTCAGAGATGACCTTAGCCAAGGTGTTACAGGAACACTAATGTCCAGAGAAATGAAAGGTCCCATCTCAAGATCATTCAACCAAAACAGGTTTCCTGAGTTTTACTCAATAAAAAAGGGCTCATTTTCAGTTAAAAAAAAATAAAAAGTTTGAATCAAATGTATGATATGTCAAGATCATTGTAATGTTTTGAGCAACTAATTAAAAAAATTTTTAAAAAGTTTGAATAAGCTACTGCTATGTCCTTCTCTTAAAGATCCAATGTCTTACCAGCATTTTTCCTTCCCCTGAACATTTTAAAGACTCTAGAACAGCTGTGACCAAAATAATTTTCTTTAATGATGGGGATGCTCTATTCTATGCCATCCAATATGGTAGCCATTAGCCACATATTGGCTGTGGATACGTGGCTAGTGAGGCTGAAGAAATTAATTTTAAATTGTTTTAACTTTATTTGATTTCATTTCAATTGATCTAAAGTTAAATATAAAATTAGACTATATTAGTGAGCACAACTCATCAGTGCCACACAAATGATGGCTTTGGTCTCCAGAACTAATAAACTGGTGGGGAAGTGTTCAGTCAGTTGCAGAGTTGAGCAAGATGGAGGTGCATCACTCTTGATGCACTATTAGGAAACCCCAGAGCCACAGGAAAGGAACTTCCGGTGATACAATATCCCCTGCAGGCGGTTGCTGCTGTGAATAACAAAGGGAGAGGTGTTGGCAGGGAATGTGCCTTCTAATGAATCCAAAATTCATTAATTAAAAAATGATTTGACACTGTGTTGTTTCTTAAGCTATCATCTCCCAGCTCTGCTCTGTGCTGCTGGGTCTGGAACTCGAAAAAAAAAAAAAAACCCAAAACCAAAACCAAAACCAAACCAAACCAAACCAAAAAAAAACATTTCTGCTTTGCCTGAGGTTCCCTGTTAGGCTTTGCAATTAGGCAGTGCTAAAGAGATTCCAGAAGGATGGAAAGGGGACTTTCCTTGTTCTTCCTTGTTCCTGAAAGGAAGCTTACTCTGGACCCTCAGGTGACTCCAGTCCCTACCTTCTTGTCACTCTATACTCCCAGAACCATCTTCATCTTGCCCTTCCAAGGGACTTGCTCCAGCCCAGTGACACTCCCCTCAAAGTTCTAATCCTACCCTCCTATTTGCACCCCCAAGCAAAGATGGCATTGTGGGGCATCTGAATCATGCACAAATCCTGGGAAACTGGCCTGCCTTACATCTATAGGGGCCTCATATCCTTCCTAAACTCCATTTCCTCCAACGGGTGCCCCACCTCACTGTCACTGGCTCAGCACCTACACCAGGGTGGTGGTGCTGAATGCAGAAAAAGGTGTCCAGAAGACCCACAAACACTAACCCAGCCCCCTTGGAACATAAAATTTGTTAGCAGCTCCTGGACAATTGCCCAAACAGGATTTTCAAATTATCAGCAGGGAAAATACATGGCATAAGGAGATAACTTTTTTAAAAAAATGTTATTGTGTTTTTTATACTTTTATTTATTTTTATGTGTTGCTGAGGATCTAACCCAGTGGCTCATACATGCTAAGCAAGCACTCTACCTCTGAGCTACAACTGCAGCCCAAGGTGATGCTTTTTGACAAAGGCACCAAGACATGATACAGATACCAGGACAAGGGGAGAGACTGGGGCCACAAGGTACACATTTTCTAAGGGCACCTCAGATCTCTGGGTACACAAGTCTTGGGCCCATTGCTCAGAGGCATCCCATCCAGACCAAGGGGTTCAGAGTGTTTAGAGAGGGGAGATACAATAGCAGGGTGTTGAAGGCAGCCTCTTTGGAGAGAGAGCTCTCATTTCATCAATGCATCAATGGATTAATGCACTAATGGATTCATAGCTGAGTAGGAGCTGGTGGAAACTGTAGGATGTGGGACCTAATTGGAGGAAGTATATCCTTGGGGATGTGCCTTTGGGGACAATATCTTGTCCTTAACACCTTCCTCCCACTCTCTACTTCCCAGGCACCATAAGGGGAACATCTTTGCTCTCTGGCATGACATTCTGCCTAACAGTGGGCCCAGAAATAATGGAGCCAGATGACCATGGACTGAGACCTCTGAAACCATGAGTCAAAATAAAGTCTTTCTCCTTTTAAGTTGTTTTTCTCAGGTATTTTGTCATAGCAACAAAGAGCTGACTAGCACAGTCTTTCAGATACTGTTAGAGCCTGATGTTTCAAACTTTAATATTAAAGAAGGTGCAACCTCCCATGGTGGTGGGGGCTTCCCTAGTTGCCCAACCCAAGGGATGGTCCCTGGAGGGGACCACTTCTTCCCAACCCAAGGTCTTCAAACTACTCAGAGCTCAACACATGCACATCCCCTAGAGGTAAGGTGCACAGAGGACTGTTTCTCAAGGGATCAAAAGTCACTTATAGCAGCAGAGACAGAGGATTGTAAAGTCTGAGGATATTGTCATTACCTCTCAACAATGGCTTGAAGAGCAAAACCCCTTAACTCTTAAAAAGTGAGGCCCGTTGTAGAAATGCTGGTTTAGGGGTTTTGTTCGTTTGTTTGTTTGTTTCCCCCAGAGGAATCTAGCTTAAAGGCAGTCTTCCAAGACCTGAATTCCTCCATGGAAAGTTGAAAAGGGGTGGGTAGAATGTGAGGGGCAAGAGTTGGGGAGGGGGAGGGGTTAGTCAGCCAAAAGCAGGCCCCTGCCCATGATGTGGAGGGTCACATTCAAGGGGATCCATCAAGAGCAATTTACAGGAACCATCACCCAGTTCCATAGCACACAAACTCAGCTTATAGCAGTACTAGTCAAGTGACAATATGTCAAGCCCCTTTCCTTGCCTTTCTGTAGCTATTAAGTGAAAAAAGAGGTGATAGAGGAGAAGCAACATTGAGTCACCTGAGCAGAGATCACTGCCTACTGCTGTAGCTGGGAGGGAGAGGAGAGAGGAGTTGGCCCTGGGAATGAGGACCAGACCATTGATGAGTATATGAGCCCACATTCTTTTCATCACTCAATTCAACCTGTTTGCTCTTTAAAGTGTCATTTGGACTCTGTCTTCTGAGGGTGGCTGGAAAAGTCATGGGAAAGGCCCACTGCTCTGGGCAGGATATTACGGGGAAGTGTCAAAAAAAATACAATGGCTTTTATCATGACAACTTTTGAGTCACACAGGTTCAACACACTAGACACATATAGGAACTCAATTCTCTCAAAGGCTCTTTCCAGCTCTAATAGCCTGCAACTTCTATATGCAAATAGGTTTTTATTTTTAAATTAACAAATACTTCCAAGTTTACTTGCTGTAAGCCAGATAGTGATCAAAGTACTTTATCAATATTAACCCATTTAATTCTTTAAAAACCCTATAAGGTAAGTAATGTGAGCATTTCCATTTTACTTATGAAAAACCTAAGGCACACACAGGGTGGGTAACATGTCCAAGGTCTTCCAGCTAGCAAGTGGTTGAGCCAGGACTTGAACCTGCTCATCCTTGAACCAAGGACATTTATAGCCATAGACTAGAGTTCCTGTTCTGAGTTCTGTCCCTAGGTATCTACTCAAGAGGAATGAAAACATACATTCACACAAAAGCTTGCATGTGAATGATCATAGCAGCACTATTTGTGACAGTCAAAAGTAGAAACCACCCAAATGATCATTAACTGGCAAATGTGGTTCATTCACACCATGGAATACTATTCAGCTTGAGAGGAATGAAGGGCTGATACATGCTAGAGCATGCATGAACCTTGAAAACATCACACTGAGTAAAAGCAGCTAGATGCTGCAAATCACATATTTTATCATTCCACATGTATGAAATAACCCAGAACGTGCAAATCAGCAAACAGAGTTGATCAGTGATGGCCTGGAGCTGCAGTGGGAACCGGGATTAATGCAAAGGGGCACAAGGATCTTCTGGGGGTGGTAGACATGTTCAAAACCTGCATTGTAGCCAGGCACAGTGGTGTACACCCGTAATCCGAGTGACTCAGGAGGCTGAGGCAGGAGGATTACAAGTTTGAGGCCAGCCTCAGAAATTTAGCAAGACCCTGTCTCAAAATAAAAAAATAAAAAGGGCTAGGGGTATAGGTCAGTGGTAGAGTGTCCCTGGGTTCAAACCCCAGCACTAAAAATAAACAAACAAAAAATATATTGTGATAATGGCTACATGATGTAGTAAGTTTACCAGAAACCACTGAATTGTGCATTTTAAATGGGTGCTTATATGATATGCAAGTTGTACCTCAATAAAACTGTTAAAACTACCAGAACAAGAACAAGAGGGCTGCATTGTAGCTCAGTGATAGAGCACTTGCCTAGCATGCCTGAGGACCTGGGTTGGATCCCCAGTATAGGGGGGAGCCTGTTCTAAGTCCATTTACACCTGTGATGAGAGCCCTTGAGAGGAACACAGGAGGGGAGGGATCCAGGCCAAGAAGTTGCCTGAAGCCCTTGGTTCTCCTGCCAAGACTCAGGAGACCTCTGAGTACTATCAGGAAAAAGCTCCATCAGATCCATCCAACCTAGAGTTCTGTACCAACTAACTCAGATTTCTTTACAGAACTGCTCTGTTTTGCAAAGAGTAATTACATGCAAGGGAATTTCCTAACCAAAATGAGACCCCTTCTTTATTATCCCCCAAACACCCATGCATTATTTTGCAATGCAAAATTCATGCCTCCTCAAACCAATTACTTGGGAAACGTGATATGTGATAATGAATTATACATGTGTTTTCTTTGAGATTTTTTTTCTCCTTAGGGATGCTAATTATGAGATAAATTGTTGGGGGGTTTTATGTTTTTGAAATTACTCCTTGTCATATCAGAGCCCCTCTTGCTATGTATTGCTAAGCTAATTGGTGGCTTCCAAAGAGGAGGATATAAGTCATTTTCAATTAGGGTAGTAAAGTGCTAAGAGAGAAAAAAGGGCCAGTCCTACATACATATTCATACACATATGATATATATAGCATATGTATATTTGTACCAGAAACAAAAAATGAAGATTCAACATGCACTTTCTATGGGAGATTCTGATGAAGCCCTGGTGCCATATTTTCCCATTTTGAAACTCACACACTTCCCCTTGTGTTACAACTTAAAAGTCATTTTTGAGGCATTAAAATTCCCTTTTGATGGAGAATGTGTCTCCACTGTGGGTGTCCAGCAACTAACATACAACAAGTCTCTTGTTGAAGAAAAGTCCTTCAAAGCTGAGACTTTATTCAAAATAAGGCTCAAGCTGTCCATTCTACAGCTTTGGTGACTACAGAGATAGAGAACAGCCCTGACCCTTTAAATTTTTTTTTTTTTTTTGTAATTGTAGATGGACAGCATGCCTTTATTTTGTTTATTTTTATGTGATGCTAAGGCTCGAACCCAGTGCGTCACCCATGCTAGGCAAGCGTTCTGCCACTGAGCTACAGCCCCACCCCCAGCCATGTCCCTTTTATAGCTTATTTCACAGCTATGAGATGTGAGAGCTGTTTCATACACTATCAAAAGCAAGACCTTTGTGATCTTTATGTTCCTCCTTAGGGGACCATAAATATTTACTTATTCAAAATCAGTACTTCTTTCCAAGGATCAAGGTTTGGGCTAATGTTTTTAAGCAGGAATTTCAAAAAGACACAGGTCACTTGTGAGTGGCATTCTACCTATTGGTCTGGTAATGTACAACTAACTGGTGATTTTATATCACCCTTTGAATCCAATCCCTCCAAACAATCAAATTGTTCCATCACTGACACATGGGAAAGAAAACTCAGTTCCTCAAACCCACATAAAATGCCATATTCCCCTAGAAAAATTAGCCTCCCTTTGAAATATAATTATATTGAAACGCAAGGTGTCAGAATTCAACGATAAGGTAACAGGCTATTTTTTTTATGATAGACCAAGAAAAGAAAGGTCCTAATAAGTTGACTAAGGGATATTGTTACTCAGAATTCCCCTACCCAACGTCTGAGAGGAAAAAAGTTAAGTGGGGCTATCTTGTTACCACAAATAGATGGCTAAATGCATCACTATTACAAAGTCAAAATAATTTGAAGTTGGGGACAATACATCATGCATCTGCGCTGAGAAGGTACCCAGTAAGTAGCCTTCCAATGACTATAGCTTGTGAAGAAAGTTTAACACTAAAATGGACACCATAGCCCTACTCTGTTATGCTTACCAGTAAAGGTTTCTGTGCATGGGTTCACTCCTGCGAGACGTTTAGAGGTTCCAAAATCAGAGATTTTCACCACTCCACTGTAGGTGTTTACCAGAACATTATCACCCTTCAGGAGAAGAATAGTACAAAATGCTTAAAGAGAGATTTAAACAAACTGACATTTAATGGTTCAAGACCTTGAAAAATGGTCTCAAAAAAAAAAAAGCCCTCCCAACCCTCCCATGAGCAAGTCACTCAGCACATGCTGCACTGACAATTATCATGACTAGATATGAGCAAAATGACACTTTGTTGGTTTAGAAAAGCCTGTTACCTTTATGTCTCTGTGCACTATCTGGTTTTCATGGAGATACTTAAGGCCTTCCAGGATCTGTTTGGTATAAAACTTGATAGTGGGCTCCTTCATTGGCCCCCATTTGGATCGCAAAAGAGCAGAGAGGCTTCCTAGAAATGGATTCAGCAAAACATTCATAAGGATGACAAAGATTCAGTTGTAAGGAGTTTAGGGAAATGAAGTGAAGTGACATCTCTAACCTGACATAAGCACTTCATACCTATACCATTGTATATTGCTAAATGCAATGAGTCTTGCCTCTCTACAGTCACAGCCAGAGAACACACTGAAAGCAAATCAGCCTATTGGCCAGACTGAAGTAGAGGACAAAGAAGAATCCCTGTGATCCTTGAAATTCAATTGGGCCAACTTTGGGGTTAGCTCTGTTCAGCTATATGAAGTCAGGAGAAGAGTGAATTATGGCTCCTTGAACTAAAGAGGCATGACCCAATGTCATAAATGACTTGGATCCCATGACATTTGTTTGCTGGACAATCGTTCTGTTTGAGTCAAAGCCAGATTTACACCTCTTGCTGTAATCAAAAGTGGGCAGGTCTAGAATGAGTGGTCTTTGGAGGTGACAAGGACTAGGATTAGAGAAGGCTAGGCCTCTTTGTCCTCATTGTGAAAAGGCCCCAATGGTAGGTCACCCACACCAATGGTAGAGGGGTGGGACCATCCTGATTAACAAGCCTTCCCCATTATTGTATTGAACACTCAACACTTAGGCCAGAAGAAACCAACCCCCACCCCCAGACTCTCTGACCACATGTCCCAGAGAAGGTGGCTTGCCTGCTGGTAAGAACAGGCTCCTGGGTATCAGCCGGTCTCAACTGTGCCACTCATACAGGGCTATGCAACCTTACTATACTTCGGTCCCCCATCTATAAAAGGGAATAAATTTTTTTTTTTCAAGACTGAATTTCCCTGTGTTGCCAAGGCTGGCTTTGAACTTGTGATCCACTTGTCTCAGTCTCCTGAGTAGCTGGGATTACAGACATGTGCCACTGTGTCTGGCTTCCATCTCTAATTCTGTTGTTACCCTTCATCGCAAAACCTGGAACAGTAACAAATGTGAACAGCAATGGACACGTTTTTCTATTAGGCTATGAGTTACCTGAGGAAAAAGACACTGTACTATATCCTTAACATAACCCTCAAAATTGAGCCCATTGCCTAGATCTTAATGTATAAAATTAGACTCTTAATAATAATAGACTCTTGATTTCTGTTAGAATGAATAAAGGAACAAATACAAGTTTCTAACCAGTTTTTACATTTGTATTCAGATAATAATTAATATTTAAAACTTTCATAAATTTTATAATTATTTCAGTGAGTTTGCTACCAGGCTCTGTTCTAGAGCTATATATGCATCATCTCATTTAACCCACCCAACAACCCACTAAGAGAGTTATTATTATTCCAATAATTATTACTACAATTATTACAGTAATATTATATTCTAATTTTACAATTTATTTATTTTTACCAAATAACTGAGGGCACAAAGTAGTAAAATAATTTGCCCAAGGCCACACAGCTTATAGATTGTTGGACCGATTTAAACTAGATAGTTGAATCCAGATCCAAGGAACTCTTTCTCCTATATTCTATTGCCTACATTTGGGGACTTTGTGGACAAAGCACTGATGTTTGATTTTGTTATTGATGTTATTTTGTAATGTCACTTTTAAAACCTGTGTTCTCTTTTCTCCAAACCACCTTTAAACTCCCTAGACTATTAAGGCCTAGAGGCAGGAGACTGCTCTCTTCATCTCTTTGTCTCCAATGCTGGCACTCAGTAGATATTCAATGAGTATTTGTGAGTTGAATAAACAAACCAGAAATAGTCTGTTTATATGACATTTGGAAAGTCTGTATCCAACTCTTCTGAGAAACCAATGTTTTCCAACCTCTACAATGTCTGTCATTTTTTAAAATGGCAGGACAATTAATGATGTCCATATTGTATTTTCAAGAGTTATTTTCAGAATTTGCCAGAATACAGCAACTACTCACCTCCAGGCACCTGTTCCATAAATATCTTGATGTAGCCATCCTCTGAAACCGAGCCCAGGTACTGGACAATATTGCGGTGCTTGAGGTATTTATGCAGGGCTATCTCCTCATGCAGAGGCTGAGAGTACCTATCATGAAAAATTTAAAAAGCCAGCATCACCTGCCAAATCCTGGGGGCTCTAGACCCTTGTGGCACCTCATCAGCATCCACCCTACTGCTGGCCATCCCTTCCTTATGGAAATTTTCTCTTCCCTTCCTATAAGACTACTCAGCTTCTCATCTGTAAAATATAGGATACAGGCTAAGCATCCTTAGTCCAAAAATCCAAAATGCTTCAAAATCTGAAACTTTTTAAGTGCCAACATAATACCACAAGCAGGAAATTCCAAACATGACCTTGTGTGATGGGTCACAATCAAAACACAGGACCACTATAGTAATGTATCAAATTACCTTTAGGCTATATGATATAAGGTGTGCACAAAATGTAAATGAATTTTGTGTTTAGACTTAGGTCACATCCCCAACAGGCCTCATGGTGTATATGCAAATATTTCAAACTCTGACAAAAATCCCAAATCTGAAACACTTCTGGCCCTAAGTTTTCCAGACAAGGAATATTTAACCTATAATAATACCAGCCATGTAGAGCTGCTGGGGACTAAGTGTGATAAGTTTCTCAGGCACCTAGTAGAGTATCTGGTGTGTGGTAAGCACTCAGTGATTTCTACTGTTACTATCACTATTGGTAGGGCCTGAACTCTCAGAAATCCCTTTCTCTGTCTGCTGTGCAGGGTGGTGCTCTGAAAGATTTTGTCCTCAGCTGCCTTCTAGTCTTATTTTACACACTCATCCCAGACCACAACAGTAGCCACCTAATGATCGACCCAGCCCTAGGGTCTGGCCTTTTTAGCTCATCCCTCATTCTTGGGATTTGCTTAAAATGCACACTTTACCATATCACTCCCCTCCATAAATTCCAGAGACTATATTCTTTCACATGGCACACAAGGACCTTCAAAATCATGCCAGATGACACCATTTTAAAGTTTTTGTCTCAAAAGTTCTCCACTGCCCCACATCCTGCATTCAAGCCATATCAGAAATTTGTTATTCTCTGAAAAGATTTTGTGTATTAACATCTTTGTTTCTTCCTCAGGTAGGCCTTCTTTTCTGCCAAACTCCTACTCATCCCTCAAAGACCAGCTTAAAGATGATTTATTTTCTCAAAATTGCCACAACTAACCCAGGAAAATTCACTTCTCATCTATGTCCTGAATACACTCTGTGTACCCTTCTATTATGGCACTTGTCACTTTGACTCAATCCCCACTAAACTGGTAGCACCCTGGTATCAGGATAGTATCATAGTTACCTTTCAGTCTCCAGCACAAGCCCAGAAGCTGGCACACAGAAGGTATCTGATCATCATAAGTTCAGCCATAAATTCAGGGAGTTAGACAAAATGATCTCTAAGGCTCCTTCTAGCTCTAAAAATCCAGGAACTGTTATACACACAAAAAACTAGAAAAAGCTGGGCACGGGTGTATGCCTGTAATCCCAGAGGCTTGGGAGGTGGAGGCAGGAGGATTGAGAGTTCAAAGACAGCCTCAGCAAAAATGGAGGTGCTAAGCAACTTAGTGAGACCCTGTCTCTAAATAAAATACAAAATAGGGCTGGGGATGTGGTTCAGTGGTTGAGTGCCCCTGAGTTCAATCCCTGGTACCAAAAAAAAAAAAAAAATACCAAACAAAACAAAACCTAGAACTGCTAGTGCTACCACAGAAGGAGGCAGTCCATACCAGGAATTCCCCAAATCTATAAGAATGCAACGACTTATTCATCATGAGAATAAGGGACACAATACTGGATGAGGAACTCAGGGGACCTGGATCCTAGCCTTTTCTGTACATAGTCTTGGGGAATTCATTTAGTCTTCTTCAACCTGGGTTTTCAGACTGGTATAAAACGAAGAATTTGAACTAATTCATTTCAGACCTTATAATTCACATAATTATCACATGCTGTCCCACTGAAAACCAACAATTGAATGGATAAATGAATGAAGGGTCTTACAGTGGGTAGAAAATCATGTTTAACCCATCCCCAATCAATAGTGATCACCCAGATAGAGAAATTTTGGCACATATCCATCAAGACCCAGTGCTGGGGGCAATGCTACAACGGTGGGCTGACATGGGATAATTATCTCCTATGCTGTGGCCATGGTTGAATATGTAGCTTCTCTACAGAAACATTTGACAGTAAACACTGCTATGCTTTTGTTTAAGATTAGGATTAGGTAAATTCAAAAAGAAGTGAACATTTAATAAGACTAAGAAATGTCGAGAAAATAAATTAGCAGTATCGACAGTAGAAAAATAGCCTGAAATTCGTGGGTCAGATTAAAGGGGAGAATGTTTAAAAAAAAAAGTCTATATCACAAAAATCTGATCTTTCAACTACATTTAGTTTTCTGTAATGTCATATCAAAACAAATCATAGCTGATTTCAATTATGACAACATAAGTTTAAAACCACTCTTGTCAGGGCTGAGGTTGTTATTCAGTGGTCAAGCATTTGCCTAGCATGCTCGAGTTCCTGAGTTTCATTCCTAGCATCGAAAAGAGGAAAAAAAAAAAAAAAGACCTCAGTCACACTTTTGTCACATTCTTTTTATCTGCAAATGATTATATAAAAATGTTAAGCTTAGAGCTGGGCATGGTGGTGCATGCCTGTATTCCCAGCAACTCAGGAGGTGAGGTAAGAGGGTGGCAAATTCAGGCCAGCCTCAGTAACTTAGTGAGACCCTGTTTCAAAATAAAATTTTATAAAAGGGATTGGGGGTGTATCTGAGTATTAAGAGCATTTGCGTAACATTCATGAAGGCCTGGGTCCAATCCCCAGTACCCACCCCTCAAAATGCCAAAACTTTAGATGGAGTTGATGCATGCAAATGCAACTTTCTTTTAAGACATGACTCTCTATAATCCACAAATGTCTAAATGAAATTAGTCCATTTCTCAATCTATTTAGATTACACAGAGAACAAAAGCAAATTATTTTTATTACAAGAAAATTACAAGTTTTGTGACCACATAATGCTTTTGTTCTTAAATCTTCTGTACTATGCACGGTGGGCCTGGGATTTGGGGTGTTGAGATGGCAAGTACAGATTGTGGAAGGTCAGCGCCAACTTGCCTGCTGTCTTTCTCTGGGATTTCTTTGATGGCTATTCGCACTTGATTGCTCAGGTCTCGGCCAGCATACACAATCCCGTAGGTTCCTTTCCCCAAAACAACTCTCTCCCCATTTGCATCGTAGTCATACTCATACTACAGAAGGAAAACAACAGGACACACAATTTGTAGTGGAGAAGCCCCTCAGAAGCCCAAAACTTGTCCATCAGTTTTTAAAAAATTTATAAACATTATTTGATTGCTAAGCAAGTATAGAAGTTATATACTTTTTGTTCAATAACAACTCTCAGATATTCAGTTATTTATAGCATGACCTTAGGAATCAGAATCTAAGAAAATTAAAAATATGGCTCACATATAACTTACGTGGCTCACTTTTTGGAGTTTTCCAACGATTTTAATGCTACAACGAAAACCTGCTTCTAATCATGTTAAGTACCCCAAATAGGTTCCCTATCTGCAAGTCAGAAAACAAATCTCTTTCAATAGCCCAGGAAAGAACTGACAGTCAATAAAGTTAAAATTGTCTTAATACAGAGTGCATATGCTGGGGTCCCTGCCCCTTTCAGTCATACGGATCTAGGACATACTGCAAAACCTCAATTTCCAATTAGCATTGGTATTTTGTTCTCCCAATCTTATCATCAAAAGCTGTTGCACACAGCTGCATTTGAGTTGATCCTTCTCAATTATTAAAACAAAGGTGACTACAGGCTGAGCAGGATTTAAAGCACATAGGAAGCAATGGCCATTTCTGTTGTTTTGCATGCTCCACTATGTCTACTTACAGAAGTACAGCTTATATACAGATTAGAGTGTGAGTGAGTGCGAGAGTGAGCGTGTGTGTGTGTCCCTTCTCGTCTACCTCTAGGGATGCTCACGCGGACTAACATTATTAAAGTGTCTATATCATTGTCTGATATAACTAGAAATCAGCCTGCTCCATAAAAGATTTATAACTCACACCTTTCTCTACCCCCCACATCTGTTGCCTTCAAAGCATATCACTCAGTTCATTTCTATTACAAACTTACATTCTAAGCTAATAACTCTAGTACCTGATTCAATTATTAAAACTAATTCCTTTGATATTTTCTGAAGGAAATCTCAAGGAATTCATTTCAGTCTAACTTAAAAGTATAAGAAAATCTCATTAAATTGTAATTACTGGGAGAATCAGAATTAATGGCAAATCTGAATAACTGTGTAAGATTTAAACATATGTAAAGTGGTGTAGTAATTGTGGACTACAACTATGCTGTCTGAAAGAGCTTATGATGATTTTATTTTCTTAAAAATGAAAAATTGTTATATTTAACTTACTGTATGCAAGTAATTTTAGACATAAATGCAAAAGTCTGCTTCCAGTGGCCTTTTTCTCCTGGAATCTCATAAATATTATTAACTTACTTAGAAAAAAACCTTTTTATAGATTGTGCATAAAAGGAAATTTTGGTTTATTTCATAACCAAATTTTCTTAAGCATTCTGACTGAGAGGATCCCAATGTAATGAGATTTTTCTACAGAGACACATTAAACAATCTCTTAGAATCATGGATAATGATGGCTGGCTGGTTCAGAAGTATTTTTAAATACACTCAATAAAGGATTTTTACATTAAAAATTGTGACTTTTTTTTTAAGCATCAAAGACATAGTAAAGAACTTTTCCCAAGTTCTAGGCTTTCTGTGACTCACCTCTAAGGTGTCTCCATCAGCCTCTCCTTCCAGCTCTACTGTACTGCCTGATGCATTGGTTAGCATCTCTTTCACCAAAAAGCAAAACCTAGAACAGCAAATGTCACAAAGATGCTGCCAGTTAGGACTGCTATTGTTTAACTTAGTCTCATTATATTAAGCTGTACTTAAATATAAAACAAACTTATATAATAAGTCGTGGAACAATCAATCTACTCCTTGATTTGACATGGTACTCTATAGGGTTATCCCATGTGATTCTTGAATGCTCTCTATACAGTACCTCTACCAACTGGTTGGTCAACTGATGCTTGAGCATCAGAGTAGCCATTATCTAGCAACAGAGAACCCATTATCTCCCAAAGGCAGCTCAATCTGAGAACTCAATAAGAAATGTTCCCCTTTTATTGACCTGAAGACTACTTTTATGTGGGTACCCTCCACAGATTAGAGTTAACCCCCTTTAGGTATATGTACCACATATCTTTAGCCACTTATCAGTGTATGGACACTTGGGTTATTTCCATTTCTTGGTTATTATGAATAGTGCAGATGTTTCTGACATATTGATGTCAGTTGAGGGTAGAATGATAATTACCAGAGGATAGGGAGAGCAGCAGGGAGGGAGGGATAGGGAAAGCTAATTATGGGTACTAAGTTACAGTTAGATAGGAGAAAGAAGTTCTAGTGTTCTACTGTACAGTAGGATGTCTATAGATAATAATGAAGCCCTTTATTTTCTTTAAAGCTAGAAGAAAGGATTTAGAATGTTTTTACCATAAATAAATGATAATTGTTTGAGGATATATATTCATTTACTCTGATTTGAACATTATAAAATGCATACATTATCAAAACATCACATGGTAGCCCACAAATAAATATATTTTTTATGTATCAGTTAAAAATAAAATTAGAAATACATTTAAAAAGAGTTCTTTTCTATATTACTTCTTTTCTTATCCCTATAAGACTTTCCTTCTTATTCTCTTATGGTTTCCCCTATGACTCATTTGGGAGTTTCTCCACTAACTGGACATTCTTTAAATATGTCCCTGTATTACTCTTTAAAATTTGGTTCTACAATCAGTATTGCAGAGGTGACTTAATCAGTGCTAAGGACAGCAAAATCAACTCCTTCCAAATTGTAGACAGGCCAATTCTCAGTAAGATATAAGATCTTGAACAAGGGAAGAAAATACCATATCATTCATTGACAAAAAGATTAAGCCTAAGATCAACTATTACCCATGTCTTTCTCACAAATGCTGTAGAACCATATCAGCCACTTAGACTTGTGTAATTGTTTATTTGCATAAAAGTGATCTTGATCCAGTAGAATATTTTTATTCAGAATTCTTTCATAAGATGTTAAGGAGGGGCTGGGATTGTGGCTCAGTGGTACAGCACTTGCCTAGCAAGTGTGAGGTCCTGGGTTCGATCCTCAGCACTACATAAAAATAAATAAATAAAATAAAGATATTTTTTAAAAAAGATGGTAAGGAGGAACAGTACATGCTTCAGGAGAATTTCTGCAAGACCATAAAACATTCATTTTTATAACTAATCCATGCCACCTTTTCTTCTAATATTTGAATACGGGGGAACCCAAAGTCAGGCTTCTTAGGAGACACATGCTATGTACTCACCATAGTAACTAAAATTCTCAGAATTATATTTATTGTTAATTGTTGTTAAGCAACTTTCATACCTTACTTTGGGGAGTATAAATTCACGAGACCATTTTGGAAAACGAATTAATCAAATCTAAATATAAAGCTAACATAAACCAAGTAATCCACTCCTAGGTATATGCCCAACAGAATTTAATGTATATTTTCACCAAAAGGCATGTGTAAGAATATTCATTCAAGTTTTATTCATAAGGGCCACAACTAGAAATAATCCAAATGTTCATCAATAGGAGAACAAATAAATGGTTGTACATTCACATAATGGAACACCATGAGAAATAAAAAGAATGAACAGATACATACATCATGGCTGAATCTCATGGCTATTATCTTAAGGGAAAGAAGGGAGAAATAAAAAGAGTATGAATAATTTTATTTATTTGAAGGTCATGAATGGGCAAAACTAACTGATGATAGAAATAAAAAATACTTATCATGGAAGGGGGTTTAATGGCTAGAAAGGGGCACAAGGCACCTTTTGGGGCACTGATATGGGAGATGGATACATGGGTGTAGATATATGTAAAAATTTATCTAACTGTATACTTAAGTGCACTTTATACACTTTACTTACTGCATATTATACCCCAATTAAAAATTATTAAAATGACAAACCAGGGAAAGGAAGAAGGAACGGAAAGGAGAAATACTGGGGAATGATACTGACCAAATTATATTGTTACATCATGTGCATATATGAATATGTAACAAGGAATCCACCCTTATATGTAATTATACTGAACCAACAAAAATATGGAAAAATGTAAGTAAATGGGAATAAAGGAGAAAAAATAATCCAAAATCAATCAATCAAGATGTGTGATCTAAAAAAAAAAAGTAAAACAAAAAAGGCACTGAGTACTGAATGACAGTTATAAAGGTAAAGTTTCTAATAAAAGGATAACAAAACAATCTTAAGAAATAAGAATAAAGTTGAAGGACTCATTTGTCCTGATTTTACAGCTTCCTGCAAAAATACCCTAATCAAAAAAGTGTGGTACTTGCCAAAGGAATGATACATAGATTAGTGGAATAGAATTAAACATTTACAGCCAACTGATTTTCTAAGAGTGCCAAAACCACTTAATGGAGGACAAATAGTATGCTCAACCAATAGTACTTGGAGAATCACATATCCACATGCAAAAGAATGAAGCTGGGTCCCCTACCTCACACTATATTAAAATGGATTATCTCTAAATGTAACAGCTAAAACTATAAAACTCTTGGAAGAAAATACAAAAATCATAGAACACCTTGTGTTAGGCAAAGCCTTCCTAAATATGAACTAAAAGTACAACTGACAAAAGAAAAAATGATAAAATGAACTTCAAAATTAAAAACTTTTGTGCTGCAAGTTTTTCAACAAGACAATCCACAGAACGGAATCAAGTATTTGCAAACCACATCTAAAAAGGGACTTGTATGGATTGTATATAAAAAAAACTCTTAAAATTCAATAATTTAGAGACAAATACCCAATTAAAAATAGACAAAATTTGGAGAAACACAGCAAACATCACTTTTACTTGTTGACCCGAATTAATATCACCAGAAATGACACAAAGATATTGTGTATCCCCTGATATGAGGCACTGGGAAAGATACAGCATTACTTTTGTGGTATTCCTGCCCCAAATACATAACATGAATATACTGATAAGCAAACAGCAAACAAATTCAAATCAAAGGACTGCAAACATATTACCTGCACTCTTTGAAAGTATTAAGAAAGACAAAGACTAATGATAATCTCTTTCAGATGAAAGGTGGGTATACAGACACAGCAAGTAAATGTTATATGATTGTGGATTAGACTGTGGGCCAGGAAAAGTCTTATTTTACCATAAAAGGTTTTAGGGAGACAATAAATAAAACTTGAAAATGGCTTCTAGATTATAGTACCATATCGATCTTATACAGTATGATTAGGTAACTACTATAATTACATAAGTAAACATTCCTTTTTTTTTTTTTTTAGGAAATATGCTGAAGTATTTAGAGGTAATGCAGCATTATGTCTACAACTTGCTCCTGACCAGTTCAGTAAAAACCACCATATGCATATAGAGAAAATGTAAAATAAATGTAGTAAAGGGTTACACTGGGGAATTCTGGGCAAAACATACATATAAGTAAAAGACGTGAACTTTGCCAGACTCAGTGGCACACACCTGTAATCCCAGCAACTTGGGAGTCTGAGGTAGGAGGATTGCAAGTTCAAGGCCAGCTTCATCAACTTTGTGAGACCCTAAGCAACTTAGCGAGACCCTGTCTCAAAATAAAAAATAAAAAGGGCCAGGGATGTAGCTCAGTGGTAAACTGCCCCTGGTTTCAACTAAAAAAAGAAAAACAGTGAGCTTTAAAAATTGGGCAAATGATTTGAATAGCTATTTCTTCAAAGAAGATATGTAAATGGTCCAAAAGCACAAGAAAATATCCTCATATCACTAGTCATTAGAGAAATGCAAATTAAAACCACAATGAGATTCTATGTCACACCCACCAGAATGGCTATAATCAAAAGCACAGACAATAACAAGCATTGGCAAGGATGTGGAGGAATTGGAACCATCATACACTACTGATGAGAATGTAAACAGGGAAACAGTCTGGCAGTTCCTCAAAAGGTTAAACACAAAATTCCCATAAGATCCAACATTTTGATATGTCCACACAAAAACTTGAACATAAATGTTCATAGAAGCAAAATTCATAATAGCCCCAAAGTGGAAGCAAACCAAATGCCTATCAACTGATGAACAGATAAATAAAACGTGGCATATTCATACAATGAAATATTATTCAGACACAAACAACAAAGTAATGATATATGCTACAATATCAATGAACCTTGGAAACACTATGCTAAATGGAAGAAGTCAGTCACCAAAGACCATACATTATATGACTCAATGTATATGAAATGTCCAAAACAGGCAAATTCACAGAGTTAGAAAGAAACGTTGCATAGGGCTAGGGTTATGTGGGTGAGGTTGGGGAGAAAATGGGGAGTGATTGCTAATGCATACTGGGCTTCTTTGGGGGGTGATGAAAAATTCTAAAATTACATTGTGATGGTGGTTGTCAAATTATAAATATACTAAAAATTGAGTTGTGCACTTTAAATGGTTGTGAGGTATGAATATTACATCTCAAAGCAGTATGATCATTTTCTGTAAATTAAAATTTCAAGAAGACAATAGAGCAAACAAACATCTTCACAGCAAAGGCCCTTCAACAATTATTTACCATCAATAGATTGCAAATAGCTGAGTCAGCTATAACTCACCTACTACACTGGTCTTCAGTGGAAAAGTAGATTTGAAAGTCATCAGAGTTATCATGGACATAAAGAAAACAACACCGTTCATCAAACTTAGATAGGCTGTAAAATTGCAAAACATAAGAATGCTTGTATGTAAGTTGTGACACCAATTTTAAACTTTTGAGAAAATCTAGTAACAGATTTTCTTTCACTTCACAAATTCCTGATTCATTAATCTTTTAACACAAACCCCACATTTTGCCTTTTATTTCTCTATGAAATTTAAATACCAGAGAACTTTATCTTGTTTGTGTTTGAGTTATGTGTATCAAGAATTTCTTCTATACTCAGTGCTAAGCAGAGCAGAAAAGGGTAAAAACCATCATCCCTTGTCCTCTAGGAGTTTAGAATCACACACACAAAGACAGGCAAGGTATTTATAAAGTCATTTACTGTAGTATCAAAGGAATTTCTAAACTTGGAAAATATCAGGACACAGTATTAGTGGTCACACAAGGTTAACAGAAATAAACATTTCATCTTAGCTCAAGAAAGGTCTTTAAATATTCTCTGGTTCATTTCCAACCAAGTGTGGATCCAACTCCACAGCACCTCAAACGTAATATTCAGCTTGCCTGAACATATCCAGCAACAGAATGTCACTACACTCCATCTGCTGACAGATCTCACTGTTAGAAAGTTCATTACCCACTTTGGGCCAAAGCCTCCAAAATGGCTCTCACCCTGCCAGGTGGCACTATGAAGAATCAGGCTAGATTCTCTTCCACAATTAGCTCTTCAAATAAAGCCACTTCATCTGGTCCCTTCTAAGTCAATTCCTACTGAGTACAAAACTTAGACCATTTTTCATGATATAGATGACATGACAAATAATGTGTTGGAACAGCATCAGTCCAGAGTGACTAAAAAAAAGGTATAAACAGAAGGTCCTCACCTACATATTCTTCTACAGCTTCATTACTAAGTAATATATTTTTGAAAATCTTTAACATATTTGGGTTACATTGGGTTTTCTGGGTAATATTATCCAAATGTACTATTGTGTATTTAAATTATTTCCCTCCCTTAAAAGTGATGTAATCATTATTCCAGCTGAAGCCCTAATGTGCTCAGGACAGAATTATAGTGTGACCAGAGATAACTGGAGACTTATTTAGTGGCCTGAGGCAGTCATAGAATCAAAGAGAGGACAAAAAGTTCTAGTCCAAGTTCTTGGATTTGGTAAAAATAGTGAAGAAAATGAAACCTAAAGAGGTTGGGTGATTTCCCAACATCACACAACAAAGGGACTGGAACTCACATCCACTTCAGAACTATTCCCACCCTTGAAAGTGCTGGCAGGGTGATAAATGCAGCAGAGGTGTGTTATTGCTGCTTGGAAAAAAAACACAAATGGTCACCATTCCTGAATAAAAAAGCAAGAGCCATACTTCTCCCTGGAGTACACTACCTCACTCCCTCCCTAATAACAATATCCCTAGTTTCATTGCTCTGTCCAGGAGATCCCACCCAAGTGCTATTAGCAAATAACTCCTGGATTGATCCTGAGTACTTGAATATAACTTATTTAAGTTTGAGACAAGAGTTTCTTCTGCTGGATGTGAGAAAAGCCATTCTAATAATCCAAGAGACTTTTACTAGCAGCACATTATGGACCTCAGGCAGGGCAACAAAATAGAAAATATTTTGGGTTCAGTTAAAAATAAGAACATCACAACTCATGAATAAGTGGTAACCTTAAAGTGCATCAAACATTCACTATTACATGTATTAAAATAATAGTTACATTTTCTTTTATGTTCTTACCTTATTCCTTTAATTGAAGAGGCTGCAAAATTCCATTCGTGGATTTGTTTCTGCAAGTATCAAAGACAGAAGTCCATAGCTTGGTTTTTTCCAAATTAAAAGATCAGTTTTGGTTTCATACTATAGTCAATCATTTCTACTATTTTATTTTCAATAATGGTTAGGGTTTAGAGCAATATACTTTGCATAACTTGGAACACCTGAAATATTTTCTAATGTATTATAAAAATCTATCTGTGCTTGGAACCAACTCAGCTCCAACTTTGCATAGTTGTGTAAATGGGAAATAAACTTTTGAGAGCTGTGAAAAAAAATCTATCTGTATCTCTAATCCAGTTTAGTGAAATATAAACTTGAAATAAATAATTTGAGATATAAATAATAAGCATACAATAAGTACATAATAAATGGTCTTTCATATTCTATTAACATAGCAGGCAAACTCTAATAAAACAGGTTTGGGAATCATCCATCTAAGTTGAGTGACTTGCAAAAACGTTTGGAGAAGTAAGACTATGGTAAATATTGTTCAGTGTTCATTAATCTTCATTTCCTTTTCTCCCTGGGCACACAGCTAAACAACATTTCCCATCCTCCCTTGCAGGTACATGGGGCCATGTGGCAGAGTTCTGACAAATGAGATGTGAGCAGGAGTAAGAGTACTACTTGTAGGTGTGATGCATAAAATCCTCCACAAAAATCCTCTACTTTCTCTTTCCCCAGCCACTTCAAGATGGAATGGGGACCCTGCCAACCCAGATATGACATGAGGCATAGACAAACTTTTATCAAGATGTTGAGGTTTCGGAGCTATTTGTTTTAGCATTTGGCCTATCATGACTAATAGAAAAACTGTACCAAAATGTACTTTCTTGGGAGGTAGGTACCAGGGATTGAACCCAGGGGTGTTTAACCACTGAGCAACATCCCCAGTCTTTGTTTTTACTTTTTATTTTGAGACAGGGTTTTGCTAAAATTGCTTAGGACCTTGCTTAATTGCTGAGGCTGGGCTTGAACTTGCAATCCTCAATTTCCCAAGTCACTGACATGCACCACCCATGCTCACCTCCAAAGTGCACTTTATTATCTGTTTATTTATTTTTATTAGAGCTTTATGGTCATACATAGTAGCTGGGTTCATCCCAACAACTCATTCATGCATAAATAAATTTCTGTTCATGACCCCCACTTTTCCTTCTCCCTTTTCCCTCCCGTCCTGCCCCTCCCCCTCTCCTTCCTCTAGTCTGTATGCTAGACTTCTTTTCCCTCATCTATTAATTTGTATTTTATTGGTTCCTTCTGTAACTTTATCCTTCCTTCCACCTTTCCTTTATTTCGCTCTAGCTTCCACATTTGAGAAAACCTTTTGAGTTTGGCTAATTTCACTTAGTATGATATTCTCCCTTTCTATCCATTTATGGGTAAATGTGATAATTTTGTTCTTTTTAGTGGCCAAGTAGAACTCCATTGTGTGTGTGTGTGTGTGTGTGTGTGTGTGATTGCAATTTCATAATCTATTCATCTATTGACAGACATCTAGATTGATACTATGCATTCGCTATTGTGAATTGTGCTGCTATAAACAATGATGTGCCTGTGTCACTATAGCATGCCAATTTTAGATCTTTGGGGAAAATACCCAGGAGTGGGATAGTTGGGTCATATGGTGGTTCCATCCCTAGTTTTTTGAGAAATCTCCAAACTGCTTTCCAGAGTGGTTATACTAGTCTGTAGTCCCACCAACAATGTACAAGTGTTTTTTCTCCCCACAATCTCACCAGCATATATTGTTGTTTGTATTCTTGATCACTGCCATTCTGACTGGAGTAAGAAGAAATCAGTGTAGTTTTGATTTGAGTTTCCTGATTCTAGAGATGTTGAATATTTTTTTTCATGTATTTATTGGCCTTTTGTGTTTCTTCTATTGAGAAGTTCCTGTTCAGTTCCTTTGTTCATTTATTGATTGGGTTATTTGCGAGGGGCGTGTTAAGGTTTTTGAGTTCTTCGCATATTCTGGATATTAATCTCCTTTTGGAGGAGTAGCTGGCCAGACTTTCTCCATTCTCTAGGCTCTCTCTCCATGCTTTTAATCATTTCCTTAGCTGTGCAGAAACTTTTAGTTTAATGGCATCCCACTTATTGATTGTTGGTTTTTTTCCTTGTGCTTTGAGGGGTCTTGTTAAGGAAGTCTGCACCAGCACCTATAGGATGGAGTGTTGACCCTATGTTTTCTTCTAGCAGTTTTAAGGTTTCTGGCCTAATTCCATTTTGATTTGAGTTTTGTGCAGGGTGAAAGATAGGGGTCTGATTTCATTTTTCTACATATAGCTATCCAGTTTTCCCAGCACCATTTGTAAAAAGGCAGTCTTTTCTCCAAGACATATTTTTGACATCCTTGTCAAATATCAGATGGCTATAGGTTTATGGGTTTGTCTCTGTGTCTTCTATTTTATTCCATTGGTCTTCATTTCTATTTTGGTGCCAATACCATGCTGTTTTTGTTATTACATACTCTGTAGTATGATTTCAGATCATATATTGTGAAGTGAAGTCCTGCTTCACTTTTCCTGCTTAGTATTACTTTGGCTATTCTTGATCTCTTTTTATTCCAAATGAATTTAAGATTTTTTTCTAATTCTGTGAAGAATGTCATTGGTATTTTGATGGGGATTGCATTGAATCTGTATATTGCTTTTGGTATTATGGCCATTTTGACAATATTAATTCTGCCTATCCAAGAACATGAGATATCTTTCCATTTTCTAAGGTCTTCTTTAATTTATTTCTTTGGTGTTCTATGATTTTTCACTGTAGAGCTCTTTTAGCTCATTGGTTAGATTAATTCCCAAGTATTTTATTTTAAGGTTATTGTGAGTGGGATGGTTTTTCTGATTTCTTCTTTGACTGAATCACTGTTGGAGTATAGAAAAGCAATTGATTAATGGGTGTTGATCTTGTACCCTGCTACTTTGTTAAATTTATGTATAAACTCTAAAAGTCTTCTGGTGGAGTTTTTTTAGATCTTCTAGATAGAGGATCATATCATTGGAAAACAGAGATACTTTGACTTCTTCTTTTCTTCTTTGTATACCTTTGATTTCCTTTTCTTGCCTGATTGCTCTGTCTAATGTTTCAAGGACTATATTGAATAGGAGTGGTGAAAGTGGACAGCCTTAGCTTGTTCCTGGATTTACTGGAAATGCTTTTAGTTTTTCTCTATTTAGTTTGATGTTGGCTTTGGGTTTGTCATAAGTAGCCCTTATGATGTTGAAGTAAGTTCCTTTGATCCCTAGCTTCTCCAACATTTTTTAACATGAATGGGTGTTGGATTTTATCAGAGGTCTTTTCTGTATCTACTGAGATGATCATGTGCTTTTTGTTCTTAATTCTGTTTAAGTGATGAGTCACACTTATTGATTTGCATATGTTGAACCAAACTTGCAACTCTGGAATGAAACCCACTTGATCATGGTATATTATCTTCTTGATGTGTTTTTGAATGTGGTTTGCTAATATTTAGGATTTTTGCATCTATGTTCATCAGGGTATCGGTCTATAGTTTTCTTTCCTTGAAATGTCTTTGCCTGGTTTTGGTATAGTTATATTAGCTTCATAAAAGTATTTGGGAGTGTTCCCTCTCCTTCAACTTCATGGTATAATTTACAGAAGAACTGACACCAATCTTTCACAAAGGTCTAGTAGAACTCAGCTGAGAAGCCATCAGGTCCAGGGCTTTTCCTTTTTGGAAAGATTTTAATTGCTGTTTCTATTTCATTACTTTATATTGGTCTGTTTCATTACTTTATATTGGATTTCTATACCTTCCTGTTCAATTTGGGCAGGTCATGTGTGTCAAGAAATCTGTCCATGTCTTCCAGACTCTCCAGTCTATTGGAGTATAAATTTTCAAAATAGGATCTGATAATCCTCAGGATTTCAGAGGGGTATGTGGGATATCTCCTTTTTCATCCCTAATCTTGTTGATTCGCTTCTTCTCATTCTTTCTTTTGGTTAGTTTGGCTATGATTATGTCAATTTTATTTATCTTTTCCAAGAACCAACTCTTTGCTACATTGATCTTGTATATCATTTTCTTATTTTCAATTTCATTGATTTCAGCTCAAATCTTAATTATTTCCTGTCTTCTACTGGTTTGGGGGTTAGTTTGTTCTTCTTTTTCTAAGGCCTTAAGGTGGAACATTATCTTATTTATTTGGGATCTAATTTTTTAATGTAGATACTCAGTGCTATAAATTTTCCTTAGAACTGCTTTCATACTGTCCCAGAGACTTTGATATGTCTTTGTTCTTGTTCATTTCTAAGAATTTCTTGATTTCTGTTCTCATTTCTTCTTTGATCCATTCTTCACTTAATAGAGTATTTTTCAATCTCCATGCATTTATGTGGCTTCTATTATTTTGCTTGCTGTTGATTTCTAGCTTCATTCCATTATGATCTGATATGATACATGGGATTATATCAGTCTTTTTTGTATTTGCTAAGATTTGCTTCATGGCCTAAAATACAAAGGATTTTATAAAAAAAGTTCCAAGTGCAGCTAAGAAGAAGGTAAATTTAAGCTGTTTTGGGGTGGAATATTCTGTAGATGTCTGTTAGGTCTATTTGATTTACAGTGTTGTTTATGTTGGAGATATCTTTGTTGATTTTTTTGTTTTGATGACCTATCTATTGGTGATAAGGTTGTTTTGAAATCTCCTGGTATTATTTATTATGTTGGGGTCTATTTGGAATTTAACGTCATGGAGTATTTCTTCCATGTAATTGGGTGCATTGTCATTTGGGGAATACACACACATACACACATTGAAAGAATTAAAAAAACTAATTTAAGAATATGTATATGTAAAAAAAATATCTTGGTGTAGATTAGAAGGCTCCACTGAAGTAGTCAAAATATTTGACTGGAATGGTCAATATCTATCTTTAATAGTCTTTCTTATCAATTATTCTTGTGTAAAGTACTGATAGAAAGAACAAGGTATGGGGGATGTTAACCCCTTCCTGTTATTGTGTGGCTGAGTTACTAGTTATAGTGGCCTAAGACTGAAGCTGTTTGATATAAGACTCAATTTCCCTTCTCACCAGCATGAGATGGGATGGGTAAGTTGTACAGTCAGTTTGCATTTTGACCCTTCTGTGCACACCCAAGGTACTGTTTCTGCAGTGCATTCTGTGAGGGGAGATCCAGCAGGTGGTGCTGGGACCTACTTGGCCTTCAGGTCTTGCCTGGCTAGGTTGAAAGATGCCTTCTTTGGAGAGACTAGGTGGACCTGCCCCTAAGCCTAGACTTTACCTTGATTATTTCCATGGGTTCAGTTCTTGATTACTTCCCTAGAAATCCAATCATGGATCAGGGTGACCATGATTGTACTCATTTTTGCCCAGGAGTTCAGCTTTCCCAGGTGTAGTTTCTGAGTGTATTCACCCCATACCTACTTTGACTTCCAGGCCAGCATATGAGCCACCAGACACAAAGGCACCCCTTAGCCCTTATAACTGAAGTCCCCCTAGGTACAGTACACTCCAAGACAATTTCTCTTCTGTTATGCCAGACACTGCCTAGGTTCCTTGTTAGGCACCTGCCAGGACACTATGGCTTTCTCTGTGTGTGTTTTTCCTGATCTACCGAGTCCCATTCATGTCATAGTGGGTGTGCTTGCCCCAAAGTGGCTCCTGGCTCCTCTTTCCCTGAGATACCACCGGTACTTACTTATTTAACACCCAAGAGTCCTTCTCAAGGACCTGCATAGTTTGCCACCCCTTGGTTCAGATAAGTTCAGGGAGGGTTTTTGATCTTAGATTTCTCCACACCAAGACACACCACCACACTACCTGAAATGCTGCTTCCTCTAAGTCCCCCCTCCTTTGCCCACGGTGGGTTGGCTCCCATAACCCTCTTTTGCCCACCTTGTTGAGAAGCTATGCATCTACTACCTTGGTCTCATGCCACAGAGCAACTTGGAAAGTCATCTCCTTTACTCTGCCATCTTCCCAGAAACTCCAAAGCACACTTTTAAAAAAAAACAACTTCATCCTCTTACTTTATTACCATTTCTTGCCCTTAAACTGTACAAGGTTAAGCCTTGGATGGAATGTCTAAACTCTAGTTTCAGAAAAACCATAGGCTACAATATGAATACATCACAAGTGTAAAAAAATAATATTAAACAGGAAAATCCATTTTGTTGGCCTGAGGTTGCTTAAAATTGATCCCTGGTAGTATTTACACTACAGGAATCAATAAACACTAAAAATTAGCCTTTATCCCCAGAAAGTTGGCTGTTCAACATTTACTAGCATATTACTGCCTTCCTGCTTCCAGTGAATTTCTGAATTCTTGGCTAATAAACCAGGAACTTAATCTAATTTAAAAGCAATGGTACAAGGAGTTGTATATATGTATATGGTATTCTCTTTTTATTATCCATACATAGCCTACCAGGAGAAAAAATGCAACACTATGTAGAAAATGTCATCTCACTCTAGGCAAATCTGCTTGCTTTTCACAATCCATACAATTTCAAAATTGTAAATGAAGGCAAACGTTTCAAAGGATTCCTCTCAGAGAAAAAGGCAATTTATATTTCTCTCAGACAACTAGGAGCACTTATGGAAAACATTTCATCAGTCAAGGAAAACTAACATTTGCTATGTATATAATTCTTTTCCATTTCTTATTACAGACTATATGCAAAGCAAAACATTTACAACCAGTGAGATATTATATGTACCAATGAAAATTTCTATTGAGAGTCAGCAACCATTATAGGTTTCAAATGAGGTGGGCTGAGTTGGTAGAATTCCATGAAATCAAAACAATTTCAGCTTTATAAGTATAAAGAGTTACTTTAATAGCATCAGGTTTTTTTTCTGGAATTATTTGTCTAAATATCTGGTATTTTACATCTATATAAAGAAAGAGTGAGATTACAGACCCCTATTTTAGAAATTCTCTTTTATGAGAGTGGTATCAATGATACAAAGAAAATAAGCAAGGTTGGTAGGATTTTCTGAACTGAGAACAGGGTGCTTCATGGAGATGGCACTTAGAGGTCTGCACAAAGACAGCAGGAGCAGGGGCTACTGAGGTGTGATCACTTTGTAAAAACTCTATCAAGCTATACATTTATGATCTATGCACTGTTTGTATGTAAGTTACACAGACCAAATATCTCTTATTTGAAATGTTTGAAACCAGAAGTGTTTTAGATTTTGCAGTTTTTCATATTTTGGAATATTTGCATAAATTTTTACTGGTTGAGCATCCCTGATCTGAAAATCTGAAATGTGAAATGTTCCCAAACCTGAGACTTTCTGAACACAGACGTTAAAAAAGCTTCAGATTTTGGAGCATTTCAGGTTTTTGGATTAGGGAGGCTCAACTTCAATAACAGGTTTAAAAAAAATACCCAAAGAAGCCAGGCTTGCTGGTGCATGCCTATAATCCCAATGACTCAGGAAAGACTGAGGCAGGAGGATCACAAGTTTGAGGCCCACCTCAGTGAGCAAGACCCTATCTCAAGACCTTATAAAAAATAAAAAAGGGCTGGGGATGCAGGTCAGTGGTAGACCACCTCTGGGTTCAATCCCTAGTATATTATAAAAAAGAGAAAAAATACCCAAAGAAGAGGCAAATTAAATAAAAGATGTGTGCATTCTTCAAATGAGATTTATCTGTATGAATGCCATATGTGCACTTTATCATAGGTTGAACAAATATATGCTTCTTTTGTACTCAGATATTTAATGTACAGAGTGCAGGATAAAAACACAAGCACATCATGCTAGCTTGTCCTCACTAATGGCTGCTGACTATTTTCAATGATAAGAAGATTAGTCTAATGTTAAATATTGGACAAGGTTATTGGCCCTCACTTGAGATATCATGAATAGATCTGATAAGGAGTTTTTAATATGAATCGAGCCTCTGCTTATTGTTTAATGTTGCAAGTTATTTGTGAAGATATTGGTTATTTTTACCTGATTACAACATTATCATTCACACTCTTGCTTCCAGGAAGAAAAATAATCCTCTTTGCCAAGTTAATGGCAGAAGTCTTTTCACGCTCCATGGAAACACATGCACAGCAAATAAATCTATCTAAAGTGTTTGTCAAAGGTGCAATGTTTCTTTATTAAATGCAAAATTTATGAAAGAACAAACTGATGAAGTACTTTAGATAAAGAAATGAAAATATCACCATTACCACAAAACATCAAGCCCAGCCAGCATTTCTGTAATCTTGTGTACTATTGGTACGAGTACAAACTAGAATGGTATAATTTGATAGCAACTATCAAAGTTTTAAATACATGTACCCTTGGGTCCAGCAAGTCCAATTCTAGGAAATCTCTGCTTCTGAAATGCTTCCATGAGCATAAGACGCACACTAGCATACCATCAGAAGAGTTAAAAATCAGGGACCTAAATATGCATCAGTAAGAATGAGGTGAAATAACAGGTTGATCTAGACCACAAAATATACAATATGACATGAAACCAGGGAATATGACACTTAAAGAATCAAGATGGATCTGTGTGTGCTACCTGAAAAACTTCCCATGATGTTTGCACGAGTTTAAAAGTTACAAAGCAATAAGTATATGCTTATATGATCACACTGTAATGTAAAATGCCTTTGTGAATAAAACTCGTATAATATATATTATACATATATAAGTGAGTTTAGAGAAAAGATAAGGGTTATCCACTCAATCACTGGGGGTGGGGATGGGGATAGAAATGGAAACAAGGTCTGAGAAACATGGAAGGATTTTCTCTGCATATGCCCTATCTACTTCCTTATGATTTCACTATTTAAAACCCTGTACTTGTCATATATTTGAAAATATTACATATAAACACATATATGTCCATTTACAAACCCACATATGCTCCCCCATATATACATATACCCAATACATAAAAATGGAAAAAATACAGGGGCTGGGGTTGTGGCTCATCGGTAGAGCACTCGCCTAGCACGTGTGGGGCACTGGGTTTGATCCTTAGCACCACATAAAAATAGAATAAAGGTATTGTGTCCAATTACAACTAATACAAAATATTAAAAAATAAAAATAAAAGGGGGAAAATCTGCTTCTTTTCTTTCATCTGTGATTATACCTTCTCATACAGTTCTATATTTCAGAAGTTGAGAATGGGTGAACTATACTTTCCAACTGTAACACACAAATTCTTCCTAGTTGAAAATTGAATCTTTGATTAAATAATAGAGAAGAAAGAGAACTGCTTGTGACTTTTTCCCTTACCATTTCTGTGGGTGATACATGCCATAAAGAAACTGTTCTCTCCTCAGCTTCATTGTTGATAGAAACATAAGAAGGCTGGTAGACTTTGGTTGGCTCTATCACCAGAACCTAAGATAAGAAGATTCTTGTAAGACAAGTGAATCTAAAACAGGTGACCCTACCCAGAGAGGAAGTGGGAAGATTTATACTCAACAAATAGTCTTCAAATACCAACTATGCTAAGCATGGCTTAAGGAGCCAAGGGTATAGCTGGGCTGTGATTCAATGGGGTGACAGAGAACCAGATAGGGTTATGTATCCTAACGTCATGTAGTGTCTTAAAGAGAATAAGGCAGAAGAGTGAGGGGCACTTCTTCAGACATGGCAGCCAAGAAAGGCCTGTCTGAGGAGGTGACAAAAGAAAGAGGGAGGAGGTTGCAGCTTTTGAGAGAAATAAAGAAGCAGAAGGAATGGATGGCAGGTCCCAAGTCTGTAAAGACGTGAGGAGATGAAAAGTGAGTGACATTTTCATTGGTAAGGTGTTATTTGGTTAAGAGAGTAAAGGAGGGCTGTGGTTGTGGCTCAGTGGTAGAGTGCTCGCCTAGCACGTGTGAGGCCCTAGGTTCGATCCTCAGCACCACATAAAAATAAAATAAAGATATTGTGTCCGACTATAACTAAAAAATAAATATTTTTTAAAAAAGAGTAAAGGAGAGGGAGGAGGAGGAGGAGGAGGAGGAGGGAGAGAAAAGGGGGCAGGTGGAGAAATGGGAAGAGAGGGAAAAAGAGAGAGTTGGGGGGGAGTAGGAATATATCTTCAAAACAAATAAAGCAATATGTTTAAGACAGCTAAACCCCAAAAAAGCTTTCACAAGTGTCCATTTCATTATGGGTTTGTACCTTTCAGATTTGAAATTTTCATAATTAAAAGAAGATTTTAAAATGTATTATGCAGGAACAAAATAATTATCACAGTCCTTTCCAACAACTCCATCTTTTATTAGGTACTTAATGAAATTCTTAAAAACATGTTCACAAAAATCTCATGGCATAAATATGAAACATAATTACTGAAGTGCAATTTCCAGGACACTTAGATATCTTACTTATGAACCTTTATAAATAGCTATAGAATTGAAACAAAAGCTAAAAGCAATTCTGATTTTTCAATAAAGTTTTAAATATTAATCAGTGGCACTGGAGGCAAACCAAAGCTTAATAGGAGACAGTTTTAAATTCCATTTTTCTATTGTTAGGATTATATTTTTTAAGAGCAGGATTTCTCCGCCTTGGCCTTATTGATAGTTTGGGCTAGATAATATATATTTTTTTTATTGTGGGGGCTGTCTTGTATATTGTAGAATGGGTAGCAACCTCCCTGGTCTCTAGCATGCTGGTGACCAGTAGAACAACCTCTTCCCCCAGTTGTGACAACCAAAAATGTTTCCAGACATTTCCATTTACTCTAAGTTGAGAGCCATTACTTGAGAGGATATAGCCAACTTTTCCCCAGGGAGTTGATCTATCACTTGATGATTCTGCATAGGATTGGTAGTTATTCTAACATATGAAATTACAGTTTTCTTCCCTTTTGAGTATTCAATAATTAAGGTAATAATAATCCCAAGTTTCTTTTGTCTATCTTATAAAGTGAATTTAGGTCTGGGGACATAGCTCAGTGGTAGGGAACTTGCCTAGCATGTGCAAGGCCCTGGGTTCCATCCCCAGCATCAGGAAAAGAAAGGAAGAAAGGAAGGAAGAAAGGAAGACAGGAAGAAAACTGAATTTAGCATAACTTACTGGAAATCTGAGTCCATTACTAACTTCATTTGTTGCTTCAAAAATTATATCTAACCAGAAGGTAAGCCGTTCTTGCCTAGGTGAATGTTCAATAATGGGTTTCTTGAAGCGCCGAATTAATAACAAGTTCTGAACTAATGATCGCAGATACCTGGGGAAAAAAAATCACAAAACCCCATAAATCAGAACTGAGTTCACGTGTACTCCCTTTAAAACTATCTACTCCAAAGCTTTATTTACTTAAATGCATATTCTGTCACAGTACATCATACACAATCATTTGGCAACCATATAACTAATTATAAGAAGCCCAAACAATAGGCAAAATAAGTAAGTCCAACAAAATCATAAAACATGGCTTTTTACCAACATTGGCCTAAACCTCAATTTTAGTACATAGCATCCAAGGCATAGTGACTGGAAAGCATGCTATAACTCTCTTAAACAACAAAAAGCCAAAGTTTTTCAGCTATCAAGCTTTCTGGCTATTGCTGGAAATCCCCTCAAGTTAAAAAAAAAAAAGGCAAGCAGTTCTTAAGTTAAAATTACAAAATAGCAAACTTTCAAACCCACTGTCTTTTGTTTTTAATTAAACTTTTTATTTTAGATCTAGGTGGAGTTGTAAGAAATAATACAGACAGAACCCATAAATTCTTGACCCAGTTTACCTCAATGGCAACATCTTGCAAATCTGTAGTACAATATCACAACCAGAATGTTGCCATCCAAACGGTCAAGATAGAGATTTCCATCACCACAAGGATCCCTCATGTTGTCCTCTAATAGGTATGCCTACTTCCCTCCCATCCCCATCCTCCCCTTTACCACTAATAATCACCAATCTGAAACTCATTTTTTAAAAACTTAAGACTCTGACCAGGTAGATTTTAATGCTATGAAGTCTTGACTCTGCCTATACCTTTGCTGTCTTCAGGCTAAGTGAACTTTTTGAAGTATAGTGATCAGGCAGTGACATTAACTATATTTCACAAAGTACTAAATGGAGATGGTTCAGCTGAAAGCATCATAGTATTATTTTTCTCTTTGAGGATAAAGTCTGGAGCTATCCTAGAAAGGCAAGCCAGCTAGACTCCAACCAATTTGTTTGGGTACTCACCAGGCCTCGATTGTCCAAATTTTACTCATTCCAAAAAAAGATCTGGCCTTTGACTGAATACTGAGGCATTACTTCTAAATCTCTGGAGTATTCTGCCTGTTTCCCTGAAGCCTTGGGCCATGTCACACAGTTTCTGCTAAAAATATGAGTCATGGTGAAGGCCTTGGGCCACTCACTGTATGAGTTTGAATACTGGAGGGGTTGGACACTGAGGTCTTAAGATCAATCACATGAACATTCAATGCCTACATGATTCACCTCCAATAAAAACCCTGTACATCAAGGCTCAGTAAGTTTTCCTGGCTGGATATGCTGCAAGCATGCTGTCTCTATTGCTGCTGAGAGAATTAAGCACTGTCCATATGATTCCACTGGAAGCTTGTACATGGTCTCCACGTGCTTTTCGCCTTTGCTGATTTAAGCTGTATTCTCTCATCGTAGCAAACCATAACTGAGTATAACAGCATTTCTGAGTTCTGTGAGTCCTTCTAGTGAATCAGATATTAAGAAGAGTGATGACAAAGCACAGACTGGACTTACCAGACTGGAGGTTTCAGCTTGAATAGCCTTTCTGCTGCTTGCACCGCCTTCCCGACATCATTGGCCAACATGCTGACAGTGAAAAACTGGCCAACATCCCAGTAATTGTTCATTTTCTCCAAGCTCCCTTTTCTTCCCAACAAACTATTCAGTCGAACACCTTCAGAATTTGAATTTTTAATAGTCATGAAAAAAATCTTCCTAGTTTCAGTCACATCACACAAGCCTTTGAGCAGAGGACATGTGGACATTTTACTTTGGCTGCTGTGTCTCAGGTATGTTATCAGGTAGTAACTGATTGTTTCTTTTGAAATATATTGCTAGTTATTTGAACATAATTTTTAATGCTAAACTTGTATAACGGAAGCATCAACATCTGCAATAATAAACAGCATTACCTATTTTCCTTAGTTCCATGGAAGTTTCAAATTGTTGTCCAGCAACAATCAGCAAAACTGCAAGGTTAATTCCCGAATAAAGAGATGACTGCAGTTCAAACCCCTTGCGATACCTACAATTATAGAAGCACCAAATTCTTATTATATCATCTTATTCTATTAGAACAAAAATGTGTAGATAATGATATAAACTACCTTCTTATGAAAATATTTATTACTTTGTTATTTCATGGTTCTTTCTTTCACCTTGATGAACATGCAGCTCTCCAATGACTTTTTCAAGATGTCGTAATAGCAGTGCTGTAACTTACACTAGGGAGTTTGAAATTTTTTCTTCAAAAGGCTTATGTTTTTGTAATGAAAGCCATAATGATCATATAAACAGGGAAGTCACTTTAAAACAGACAAAAGAAATTTAAAGTCTATTATAATCCTATCCTCAAAAGATGACCACAATTTGATATTAAAATCTTCTTTTTAAGGTTTGACTCCAGTTGTACATTCAATATTTTATGATATCAAAATAGTATCAATCATAGGCTATTTTTCTGTATGCCATTTGTTTGTCTTCTTTATCACGACATGGAATTGTTTTTTCATATATAAAGTCATGATGCCAGAATCCTGGATGGTTATCAGGGCAACAACAAAAAGGGACAGGAGGGGCAAGGATCTATCACATTAGAATAAGGAATAAGATATAAAACTAGAAATACTATTTTTATACAAAAAGTTAAGTTCCTTTTGCTGAGAAGAATCTTTTTAGTTTGAGTCCATCCCATTTATTGATTCTGGGTTTTAATTCTTGCACTATAGGAGTCTTATTAAGGAAGTTGGGGCCTCATCCCACATGATGGCGATTAGGGCCTAATTTTTCTTCTATTAGACGCAGTGTCTCTGGTTTAATTCCTAGGTCCTTGATCCGCATGGTGAGAGATAGGGGTTTAATTTCATTTTGTTGCCTATGGATTTCCAGTTTCAAAAAGTTCCATTTCAACTATCTTCATTCTTTTCTCTTTGCACAAACTTTCATAGCAGATTTATTTGTAATAGTCCAAATCTTATTCTTTTCTTTTCTTTTATTTTTTTTTAAAGAGAGAGTGAGAGACAGTGAGAGAGAGGGAGAGAGAGAGAGAATTTTTAATATTTATTTTTTTTAGTATTTGGCGGACACAACATCTTTGTTTGTATGTGGTGCTGAGGATCGAACCCGGGCCGCACGCATGCCAGACGAGCGCGCTACCGCTTGAGCCACATCCCCAGCCCAAATCTTATTCTTTTCTATACATAAAAAGTTTCTTTCTTTCCTATGAGCAAGTATGACTACTACGATCAGGAAAAAAATTATTCAATCAATGATGTAATAACACAAACATATCTTTAAATGGCACTGTTAATACCAAGGACTTATAAACCAGGGGTAACATGAGAATTCATCAATAAAATAATACTTCTTAAAGGGAGAAATTATTATTTGTATCAGTTAAAATATGGCTTTATGAACTTAGAGAATAATACAAGTAACTTCAGACTAACCAGAGGACACCAAGAAAGTTCTTCCTATCCCAGTCAACAAAATTTCAACCTTTTTTGCCCCCACATATCTTGGGAATTTAAAATTCCATATCCTACCAAGTTTGCCTTTTAAAAATTTTCTTTCACAATTAAATGTTATACTGAGGTGGGTGTGGTGGTGCACACCTATGCACCCAGCTACTCAGGAGGTTGAGGAGGATTGCAAGTTCAAGGCCAGCCTCAGCAACTTAATAAAACTCTGTCTCAAAAAAATCATTTAAAAAACAAGTTAATTAAGAAGAGGGCAGAGAAGTTTTCCTTTTCCCAAATTAAAACAGGCCTTACTCAGGGGCAGAGATGATTTGGATTCCAATCAGAGGACTGCAGTCCCAGATTTGCCACTAACTATCCCTGTGATCTTTAGCCAGCCCCATGACCTTGGACCAGTCACCCACCTCCCTGGGCCACATGCTTCACATCCATACTTTAGGGTTTGGGTTAGATGACCTCCAAGGTCTTATCCAGGGCATACATGCCCTGATCAAAAGACTAAGCTGCATTTATTCCTGTACCTACCACCACTACTTTCTTAAGTAGCTGGGGAAAAAAAAAAAACTCCTCTGACTTTTCTGAAGGAGTTACAAGCAGTGATTTCCTGATCTGGGGGTTGAATTTTTAGCCACCAAAATGGGAACCCAGCTTACTATTTTAGCTTCCCTGCTACTCTTCTTCTGCTTACTCCTCACCATCCATAAGTGTGTCCAGCATGCTTCCTCCTTGGAGTCTTTGCCTGTGCTGTTCCCTCCACACATATTTCTCCAGTTATCTGCAAAGCCCACTCCCTCACCACCTTCACGTTTTTACTCACCTTTACTACCCACCCTATTTAAAATTTCAGACTACCCTCTCAACTCTCCTTTTCTTTTCCCTGCTTAACTTTCCCCCATAGCCCTTGCCATCAGCTAACATCCCATACATTTTGCCTTATTTACTTTTCTGACTTCCCTTAACAGCAAGGTGCCTGAGGGCAGGGATTCAGTCTGTTGGGTACACATTCCACATTTCTACCATTTAGAAAATTTCTGGCACAATGTAAGCCCTCAATAAATATTTGTTGAATAAATAAATAATGAACAGCTCACTGGGAAGATAATACCTTGACAGTGGTGGATAAGATTCTGGAAGGAAGGTTGGGGTTGTAGCTCAGTGGTAAAGCATTTGCCTAGCCTTGGTGAGGCACTGGGTTCATTCATCAGCACCACATAAAAACAATAAAAGTTAAAAAAATATTCTAGAAGGGGTAGCTGGTAAGAAGTATGTTGAGCCTTCTTCCTGCCTCATAAATGAGTGAACTTATAGGAAGTGTGTTTTCAAGAGAAAACCCTGTTTTCATGGCTTTCTCTCAGAAGAAGGAATCTGAAAATTCCCAGACCACATTTATTGCAAGGTTTTTTTCACTGCCAGTGGATGGACACACATATGCACATAGGGAAAAGACCTAGATGCTTGGCCTATGTGATTCTGTGCAGAGATGCATATGCTACTTACCACTCAATGGCACTGTCTCTGCTGGCAGCATCTTTACAGTCTGAATCCAAGAAGATATCCTTGTAGATCCTCCCACACAGGCAAAACATGTCAGGAGCTGGGTGGTCACAGCTCTGCAGAACCTGGAGCATGACCTGAAGAGCCTTCTCACGGTCACCTGCACTGTTTCTCCTGAAAGATACGTAAGATCACAAACAGCCCAATCAAGACCAAGAGTATATGTGCACTCATCCTGCTGGAAGATTGGAGGTAAGGATGATGTGCTTTAATAGAAAAAAGAATCAAAGTTACTTCAGTTTTCATTTTCAAAAGCAGCAACTGCTTAGGATATATATTAGTAAATCTCATATAAGTATACTTAGTTCCTACTTGATCCTATCTTCAACAAATAAATTGTAAGACAAAATAAGAGAAGAGGAAAGTGATGTAATAAACCACAGAACAACTGGCGAAGTATGAACACAGACAATGAGTAATTTTTGTTGATTTTTAGGTACGACACCTTAATCATGTTATTTTATAAAAGTGTCCTTGACTTTTAGAAAGACGTGCTGAAACATCTATAGGTAAAATGGTGTACCTCTGATTCATAAAAAATCCAGTGATGGAGTACAAAGAAATGGGGGTAAAGGAGAACCAAAACTAATCATGCAATGATACTTGCACAAGTGCAATAATTAAGCCTTTATTTTGTCTCTGAATTTTTCCATTTTATACCTTGGTCCTGTTTTTTTTTTTTTAAAGTTGTTGACAGACCTTTATTGCAAGGTTTTTTTCACTGCCAGTGGACGGACACACATATGCACATTACCTTCGAGCCACAGCCACAGCCTTGGTCCTGTTTTGATATATGTGATCTTCCTTCTGTTTGTCATATAGAATCTAATTTAATGAGCCTGCAAACTAGATCTCTTTTTGCATAGCCCATCTATGGCATTTAATTTTTGAAGTGCTAACAATACCCAATTCAAATTTGCTAAAGCACTTAAATAACTTCTAATGTCTATGTCAAGAATATGGAGAATATTAAAATTCTAATGAGTTACAAATTTTCTATACCTGGTATAACCTCATTTGGGGATTTGAAATACACATGATTCTGCAAAAAAAATGTATAACTCAAATACTTAATTACTGATGTGAGTTCAGGTTGAGTTTTCTTTTTGTTTTCTAGGGTTTTTTTTTTTTTTTGACAAGTTATATCAAGATTTCCCTTAACATTTTTCATTAACTTGAAACTTACCCTTGTTTCTCAAATAAAAGATCTTTTTGAGTATAAACAAAACAAAAATCAAGCATCTAAAAAAATGAAAAGCAAAAAGAGATTTTCTGCTTAAAAGCCACTTTTAAGACAGTCTACTCTATTTAAGACAGGTGCTAAACAGCTAATCGCTTTAGTAGTTAATAATCAGCTTTCAGATCTGCTTATCATTTTCAGATCCCAAGGTATCCAAGAACAAACCTATAGATAAAGACTCCTGTGTTTAATCAGTCAGCAACATCTGTTTCTGGCAATAAGGTCATTTCACAATGAAGAGAAAGAAATGATGACAGTGGTCTGAACCTTGGCTGCATATTAGAATCACCTGGGGAGCTTTAAAACCCCCGGGGTCCGGGGTACATCCTGGACCAAACAAATCTGAGTCTCTTATGTTGCACTCTCTAATTCAATATGCCTGCATCACTGCTAAATCCACTGGTCAATTCTCAGTCCTTGTCCTAATTGACCTACATATGCATTCCATCTATGTGTATTTAATCAAACTGTACAGTTAACAACTGTATAATCCCTTCTCCTAGGACTATCTTCATTTGATTTGGAGGACACCACATTTGCCTGAATTTCCTCCTTCCTTAGTTCAACTTTTTGGTTCCTGCCCATCTCTCTGATCTTTTAACATTGGAGTATTCCCAGGTACAACCTTTGGACCTTTTTTTTTTTATTGGTAACTAGAATCCAGTGCCATGATTTTTCAAACCACCTATATTCTGATGACTCCCAGTTTTCTACCTCCAGCCCACACCTCTCCCCTAAACTCCAGACTTACATACAAAAATGCCTTCTCAGCATCTCCCCTGCAGATCTAATACCTTCAACTTAACATGTACAAAATCAAACAATCATCCTACCAAACCTGCTCTTCTCACAGCCTTCTCCACCTGGTTTGGCAGGCAGTCCATTTTTCCTTTTATTCAGATCAAAAAACTTTAGAGCCATGTTTGATTTTTCCCTAACACCCTATATCCAATCAGCAGACACAGTTGACTTTTATTTCAAACCATCTCTCAAACTGGTCCACTTCTCATGATGCCCACAATTACCACCCTGGTCCAAGACACCATTGTTTCCTGCTTCCACCCTTATCTCTCTACAATCTAATCTCAACACAGAAGTGACTGATCCTCTCCACTGTATGTCAGGTCAGGTCACTTCTCTACTCAAAACTCTCTAGTGGCTCCTATCTTAGAACACACACCATTTTTTTTTTCAATGGCTTACAAGGCTTTACAAGATCTGGCTCCCAGTTATTTCTCCAATCTTATTTCTTACCTCTCTTACCATCCACTTTCCCATCACCTACTCTGCCTCAGCTGCACAAGCCTCCTTACTATTCCACATGCTCATCCCTCTACCTGGACTATTCTTCCCCCATATATTTACATGTCATGTTCCTTGCTGTTTTCTGATCTTCTCTCCATGTCACTTTATAATAAATAAGGCCTTCTCTAAGCACCCAACTTAAAATTACAACCTCCCCTGCCCACCAGCCCTCCCTATCACCCCAGCCTATTTTAATAATTTTACATCTCTCCTCATTTCAGAAGGTAAGCTCCAAGAGGATGAGATTATTTTTTTGGTCTACTCTATTTATTACTGTGTGCCAGTGCAAACTGGATCTGCCACACAGTAGATGCTCAATAGATGTTTATTAAATGAATGACAAACTGAGCAGAACTAAATGTACCGATGTGGAAAGATCTCCAACTATTGATTGCTAAGTGAAAAAGAATAATAACAAAATACTTCCTATATGGTCCTATATTTTAAAAACCCTATAGTATGACATTTTTAACTGCATGTTAAGTGCATAGCAAATTGTCTGAACTGACATACATCAAACTGACAAAAGTGGTTACTTCTGGAATATGAGTGGCAGCAGAAACTAGAGTTAAGAGGAATGACTGCTTCAAGTGTTTCTTTTTCTTTTCACAAGACTATGTAAATACTCACCTATTATTTATGTAACAAAATGAACACTTTATTTGGAATATCCTAATGCTAGATCTTGGTTATTTTTACGCCATTTACTACCCATGTGAATTTTGAGCAGGTCCTTTTCCCTTTCGGTGCCTCAGATCTTCAACTGAAAAGTAGACTTGACTTTGCTCACCTCACAGAATTAGGGTGAGCTTCGGGTCTGCCAGAACATTGATTTGCCACTTACCATCCTGTCTTCCTGTCCACCTTTTCTTATACTGTGTGTCCATAAGAGGAAGTCCATACCACAGGAACCACACTTCCAATAAACCTTCTTCCAAGCCAGTCCTGAGACTAACAAGCAAGATGTCTCACTAGATCAGTCTCCTTTCTAGAACAAATTTTGTCTTGGATCACTCCCAAAAACCTTATAAGAGATTCCTTCCAATTAGGATATAGGAGATATGAAATGCCTTCACTCCTGTGGTAACAATAAAAACTCAGACAATACAACAATCACACCAAGGAGAAGGAAGGAAGCCTTGAAGTACTGAATCCCAGTGCTACAAAAGTTTCCATAGTTGCTTGTCATTCTGGGTATTTATGACTGGAAGAGGGAGCCTTTGATAGAAAGAGATACTTTGCAAGGACAAGGAAAACTTATCCCATCTTTAGACAACAGCATGGGACACCATCTGAAGCACCCCTAAGCAAAAACAAATCACTTGGCCTAACAATGCTGTTTCCCCATATTCACCCCCTGCATTTTGCCAAGAAAACCACAGGGAAGGAGATGCTCAAAACCAGAAAGTCATTGCAGGCACCACTACAGCACCTGGACTGCAGGCCCTGCAAGAACTGAATCCAAAGATATCAGAAATAGCTCAAATATTGACAAGACTGAAAAGGTAGCAGAGGGACAGGAGGTTGGGGGTTGGGCTAATCACAGGTGAACTAAATCTAGTTAAGAGTACAGTGCTTGGGCTGGGGATGTGGCTCAAGCGGTAGCGCGCTCGCCTGGCATGTGTGTGGCCTGGGTTTGATCCTCAGCACCACATACAAAGATGTTGTTGTCCTCCAAAAACTAAAAAATAAATATTAAAATTCTCTCTCTCTCTCTCTCTCTCTCTCTCTTTAAAAAAAAGAGTACAGTGCAGTCTCTAAAAGCATCATTAAAAATCATATATGCTGGACTGGGATTGTGACTCAGCAGTAGAGTGCTCACCTAGTATGCGCGCAGGACTCTGGGTTTGATCCTCAGCACCACATAAAAAGAATAAACGAATGGAATAAAGGCATTGTGTCCAACTACGACTAAAAAATAAAATATTTAAAAAAACATATATGCTAATCACCAAGCCTGTGAAAGGGTTCCAGTACTCAGAATAGCAAAACAAAATCATACTTCAGTCTCCAGTTCTTTTAGTTAAAATGTACAGACTACCATAAAATTATGAGTTGCAAAAGAAGCAAGAAACTGTGACCCAATAATCAAGATAAAAACCTTCTACTGCCAAACTCTGAAATTAACTATAACACCCAGACACTCATTATATGGGTATCTCCCAACTCTACACCACAGTTTACCATTGTCTAGTGGGAGGGATGACAGATATTAAACAAGTATACACAAAAACATGAATGCTAGGAGAATGATTAATGACAGGAATATCATTTTCAGGTACAGTATTCTTTGCAATGGCCACTTCTCTCAGAAAAGGACACTAATACTAGACCCTGAATGATCATTGCAATCAGGTAAGCAATGAAGGAAAGAGCATTCCTGGCAGATAAAACAGCATATTCAAATACCTACAGATGCAAATATCTTACCACACTTCAGACTAAAAGAAGGTGAAGGTAGCTAGAGAATGGCAAACCTGGAGGAGCAGAGTTGGGGTGGGAGTGAGGTCAGGCCACACTGAGCCATTTCTCTTCCTCTTCTGCAAAGTTTCTCAAAGGCTCTGCCTAA